TTACAGAGCGCGGCTCCTTTCAGGGCATTCTGCTAGGTGCTTTGTCATGGACATTTCCTGACTACTGCCCCCTTTTACAACCCCAGCCCGCCTTGATCAGAGCGCTGATCTGGGTCAGGTGCCGGAGCAGGCCGAGATCTCGGGCATTGTTAGTGAAGAGGAGCCGGCCCTTGTTTGTGCGGACAGCGACACCCAGCGGTGCCCGGTGCTCACACCCCGCCTCGCCAAGCCGCGGGCTCCCGCCCTGAGGGCGCTGCAGATAGAGACGCAGGCCCTGAAAGCCACGAGGGGTCCCGTGTCCCTCCTCCAGCTCCAGAGAGGCCTCTGTCGTGAGTCTGCATCAGTCCCCATTCTGTCTGATTCACAAAGGACATCAGGGTTTATAGCTTGCCTGGGGATGTCACAAAACCCCAAATATAGTCGTATAATGTGTTGAACACACACACACACATTTACACCCATTCACACTCACACTCCATTAGCTCTTTAGGAATGACAACAGGTGTCCAGAATTCGAAATCAGCCCTTAGAACCAGACCGAGGTAAAATCGGGAATTAGAAGAGCCTTGCTTTCCTGCGGCACCTGGGTGGCTCAGTGGGTTAAGCCTCTGCCTTCGGCTCAGGTCATGATTTCGGGGTCTTGGGATCGAGCCCCACATCGGGCTCTCTGCTCAGTGGGGAGCCTGCTTTCCTCTCTCTCTCTCTCTCTCTCTCTGCCTGCCTCTCTGCCTTCTTATGATCTGTCAAATGAATAAATAAAATTAAAAAGAAAAAAAGAACAATTTGGGCAGCCTTTCTGATGCCCCTTGCCAAATCATATACCTTTTTGTACCCCAAAGCAGAAATATAGGCCACGGTATGGTCATCAAGAAAGCCTAATAATTAAATTTATTCTCCTACATTTCTGCCCTCTGTCTCAGAGACAAATCGATGGGTTCCCAGGATCTGAGCACTGTTCTGATAATTTTCATTACACAGGACTTTGGAACAAGCCTTGATTTGGGATTACCTGGACAGAGGAGCTGACCATGGCGGGCAGCATACCGCGGACCCAGCTTTGGCTTTCGATCAGGGGAAGCCCGACCGCAGACCTTCTCCCCTTTTCTGCCAAGCTTGGAAACTGCCACGAGCCACAAGTCCAGCCATAGCCACAGGCAGTCACGGACAGAGTGTGAGACACACGCCGCTTGTACAAACCATTCATTTTATTTCCTGTATTGGGTTTATACAAACTTGCAAGATACAAATGCAGAGCTCACTGGGATTCTTTAGTACCTATATCTAAAAAGAATGCTGGGGAGGGGGACACAGGCGCTCACCTGTCCGTCAGGATGCCCCTCCCCGGGGAGGGGCTCGTTGGCTAGAAAGATGCTATGGGGCCGCTACAGATGTTTGGTCCCCAACAGAGATGTCCTCTGTTTGGCTAACCTTAACTTTTCTTCTAAGGTCACTTTTATACTAAATAAAGACACTGAGATCATACATTTCCTTGTATGGTTTATTGTCTAATACTAGCAGATCAAATTGGCCCCAGTATGTGCATAAATAGATATATGTATATATATGTATATTTCTTACTTTCCTTAGTTTTAAGAGCTGCCAGGTAAGGGGTGCCTAAAGGGGAAGGGAATCGATTCCGTCTTGCTATAGTCAGCCTCTACCCCAAGAACATGCCTCTCACCAAGGCAGGAGAGCAAGTGTGCACAGTTTGTGACCTCAGAAAAAGCTTTAAAGTGACAGTAGCAGTATTTGATTACAGCCTCTTGGTTATTGATCAGGGAGGTAATGTGCTAATTGGCAAGGCCCCAGAGTAGCAACCAGGGCCCTCCCCCCATGGGTCCCTTTGCACCGGGCCTCCATCTGGGCCCCGTTCTTTCATAACAACATGCTCTAGGGTGGCACTAGGGTGCCAGGCTTGGGAGGTCAAGCTTCAGATGCTGGCCGGGAGCTCTGTGACAGTCCCGAACCCTTGATTCCAGATCTGGACAAAAGACTTCCATTCTGCCCAAATCCTTGCGAGGCAAGAGCCCCCTGCCTATTTTGTCAGCCGCTAAGCAGTTCGGAAGGCTGAGCTGGCGGAGTTCAGCACCCCAGTGGCAACCCACCAGAGGACAGTCCTGGGGGGTTCTTGGGCAAGGCTGAGATGCCCCCTTGTCCGTGGGACTGGCTTCAGCCCAGAAGCTGACTCTGCAGTCTGGATGCCAGACGGAGCTACCGTCCCCCTTAGCAACAGCCCCCCAGAGGAAAGGTCACAGAGGGAGACAGATGTCGCAGATGTGACCCAGACCAGAAAAGGATCAAGGAGTGTGAGAAGTCCAAGGAACTCGCGTGTGTCTGTGCTGAAGGACCTGTGAGCCCAAGCCGTCTCCTTTGGCATTCGCACTGTATCCTGGCTCTGTCGAGGAGTCAAATTCTTGGTGCCGTTTGGCATAGGCTACCATTCTGTCTGCCCTTTCCAGCAGACTGGTGAAGGGAGGTGGTCCTGGAGCACACTGGGGTGGGGGGGGTGTGCCCGCAAGGGTGTACTTTTGTGCACACAGCTGTAAACATTTCCTTTGAGAGGATTCATATCCCGTAACCCTAGAGGGGCGTTGAGAGTTGACAGTGTAATCAAATCCTTAGACCAGGACATCCAAGAGAGTATCCTGTCCTCGTAAGATGCTCTCTGGGTGAGCTCTGGGGACCAGCCCTTTGCAGACTAGGGGATGGGAGGAGGAAACTGCGGGGGTGGGCGGCAAGGAGGAGAGGGACGGACACAGGGTTGGACCTAGAGGCAGCTGCCCAGTCTCCTCGTATCATTTGCTGATTCCACTCAGACATTGCACATTTTGAAAATAGATTTGCTTTTATAACAAAAGCATAAAATAGATCTGTCTTAAAATAAGCCCGTCCTCTCCCCTTCTTTGGATCAAAAGGCATGGGGTGTGGCCGACACAGGCTTAGGGTGGTATGGGATGTAAAGGAGGGAAAATGGACCCGGGCAGGAGTTCTGGGAAAGGATCAGACGCCCAAACAAATATATATATTATGTATATATCTATAATATGTATAATCTTCATAAAACATATATTAAGGCATGTAAAGCAACATAAAGACCCAGCTTTATGAAATAAGAGGTGAGAGAAAGGTGGCAAAGGTGCAGACCTTGATCCTTGGTATTTTACATGTATTTCTAAAAACACCACTTAAAAAAAAAAAAAGGACAAAGAAAGGGAAAGGCATGGAGGCCCCGAAAGGCTATTTCTTGTGGATGGAGAAAGGTGTTGGAAAGAGAGAGCGCGCCAATCCCACCTGCTGGTCTGTGGGGGAAGAAAAAACAGGTGTGGGGTGCTTGAGCGGTTCTAAAGATGGGAAACATAGCCAAGGTTCATGTTCAAAAAATCTGCTAAAAGGGAAGTGGAATTCCCCAGCCTGCAATCCCTCAGAAGCACGACAGTATCCTAAGCACCTAGAACAGTGCTTGGTACATAAAGGTGCTTGATAAATATTTGTTGAATGAGTTGCCATCTTTACTTGCAAATGAACCAGTCACTGGCCCCTCGCTGTGAAGGAGTGGAGAAGACGTGGTGGCAGATAAAGTCATTGTTCTTGGGGCCACTGGAGGCTGAAGTCTCCGGGCAGCAACTCTGGCAAAGAGAATGCCCAGGGACCCAGGTTTTTCCAGTATCACTCTCTCCCCTCCCTCCTCCCTGGCTACCATCCTCCCCAGATGAGGGGCGAGGAGGAAAACATGAGCTTTGCTTCTGAGTCTCTTCTGCTGGCCTCCCTGGGTAGGCGGATGGGGAGACAGCCGGACCAGAAGGGAGCCCTTCCACGTAGCCTCACCTGGTCCTCCTTGGGAATGCCTGGGACGCGGCGTGGGGCCCTAGAACCTAGCCCCCCAGATTAAGGCTGCATTTCCTTTCTGGGGCACTCTCCCAGCTGGCCCCCAGCACATTCCCGGGGAAGGGGGACAAGAAAACGTCCTGAACATGGTTAGGAAAGACGCCAAGGCTGATGATACCCTACGTGACAGAGGTCCTTCTCTCTGCCCCTGAGCTACGGAAGGGGAGGCAGACACTGAGCCCAGATCCAGAAAGGGCCATCTTCCCACCCGCACACCCGCACCACATCCCTCCACCTTCGTCCCCATGGCTGCAGCTGAAGGTCACCACGTTCTCGCCGGTTGGTCCTCCAGGGGCCAGTGATGCACAGGCCCGTGGATCTGGGGGACGAGGGGCAGGAGCAGGGCTGACAGTCTGGCTCTGTACTTGGCACTAAGCTAAGGCTCCATCCTGGGGAAACCCATCCATCCCACACCCCCTTTCCACCTTCGCCTCACCCTCTTATTTGCAAACGAGTCCTGCCGCTTCCCTGTCCTCCCACTTGCCTTCATCTCTCCCTCTCTCTTCTCCCCCTTCTCAACCTGTCCGCAGACGCTGCACAGACCTGCGTGCCGCTCTCTACCCATAGCCAGCACTGTGCCCTCTGGGAGCCAAGAAGCCTCTCCCCAGCTCTTGTCATCTTGTCTTTGGCTCAAGCAGCGTGGTCAGTCTCCACTGGACCCCAAGGGAGCACCCATCAGCAGAGACGTGTCAGAGTCCCGGGTGCAGCTGGGACAGCAGGGTGGGGCGACGGGGAAGGACCAGATGGCAGATACCGTCCTCAGTGTCAGGAGGGGCCGGAAGAGGCAAAAGCGTCCATCTTCTCCTCACCCTAGTCCTCACCTAGAGAGCCCAGAGCGTCTTCCCCACCAGGGCATCCTCTTCCTCAGGAAATGTTCCAGTAGGGCCATCACACCACCAGCCAGGGCTGGGCCTAGCCCCCCAGGACTCGGGTGCCAGCCAGGGAGTGCTGTCTGCCCAGCATCTCAGGCCCCGGCCTAAGGCCACCATGTGGTGGTGATGGGCGTGTGGCCGGGCGTGGTGGGCGTGTGGACACTGAGGTCACATCTTGGCAGCAACCCCACGGGAGCGCAGGGGCAGGGGGCCAGGGTGGGGAACCAGGACCTCCGGGGGCGGAGGAGGCCTTCAGAACGTGGCTCTGTGGGGCTTCATGGCGTTGGCCTCGGCCAGAGCTTGCACTGAAGAGAAGAGAAACGGGTCAGAAAGGTGCGTCCTGGCAGAGGGACAGCTCCAGCCCAGCTTCCCCAGGAGACAGAAGTCTCTTCTCATAGAACCCTGTGGAAAACTGCCCCACGCCCCCAGCCCTGAGTGGGGAGCCCATGAATGGAAGTCCATGCTCTTTTTCACGTGCCTGGTACCGAGCGGCTATGTGCTAGGGGAAAGGGAGGCACACAGCCTTTGGCCACTGTTGCCTGTGGTATTGTCATTTACAGGAAGATCTGGGGGTGATCTGGGAGCTTCTGAGGCAGGACTGCTGTGTATCTCAACAGGCTTGCTGGCGGACAGTGGGATAGGGGAGGCCTCAGCTCTGTCCCTGCCTGCTTCTGGAGAAGCAAAACCTACTGGCGGCACTGTGACATCCAAGAGGCAGCCCCACCAGCTGGTGCTGGCCCAGCACTGCACAGGGACTGGGACAGGGATGGGGATGGGGATGCTGCGGGCTCAAGCGGATGGAGGGAGGGGGGAGAGCGGCACAGGGGCACTGGGGCAGTGGGGGGGATAAGCAATGCCGGAATGAGGGGGGGGGGGGGGGGCGCGGGGGGGGGGGGGGGGGGGATGAAATACAGTAGAAAATTTCTTACGTCAGAGCTCAGACCCGCATGGTATGGCTGCTGTCGGCGCCCCGTGGGGATTCAGACGATAGGGGGTTGGCTGGTGGAGTCGGGGAAGCAGGGGAGGTGGGAGGGCTTGGGGTAGCACATTGCACTGGAAACAGAAATGAACAGGGAGGTTGAATAGGGGTGGGTGGTGGTGGCAGGGGTGGGGAGGCCGGGCACCCAGAGCAAGCGGGGCCCTGCCCCAGGCGGGGAGCCACGCAGGAGGCAAGCAGAGAGGAGAGCTGAGGCGGAGCTGGCCTCGGTCCCAGGCGCCCCGGAGGAGGAGACCGGGCCACTGCAGGCTCTGCTGAGAACCAGTGTGACTGTGGGCAAGGCCAGCCTCTCTGGGCCAAGCCTCTGCTCGTTTATGGAAACGGAGCAGACAGAGCAGCTGACAGCTCCTTACACACAGAGCTACGGTGGGTGATGAACAGTGCAGGAAAACCACACTACCCCCGATCATCAGGCCCCGGTGGGCGACTAGATCCAAGTTATCACCACAGTCATCACCTCCATGGAAACCGAGGCATCCGGCAGGGCTGGGACCGTGAACTTCGACCAGCATGCAGTCTCAGAAACACAGTCCCCCCGCTATCCCTGGGGAGCCCCTCTTCATCAATCCGGAAAGGGCAAACTTTGGTCCGCCCGTGAACAAATCATTACGAACCTTAAAGTGGTGACATTTGAATGAATGGATTTTACTCTATGATCGTTATGATTCCATGCTGAGAAGAGCAAAGTGGAAGGCCAATGAGGAGGGGGGTGGCCTAGAAGGAGGGATGAGTTCTCTGTAGTCTGCAGACTCGGGCGCAACTCAGGGCGGCTGTGAGGCTGGAGACTGGCAGAGAGAATGTGCTCACAGGGCCTCAGAGGAGAACCAGACCTCAGCCAGGGTCACACTGTTTCCTCCAACAGAAGGATCCTGGCATCCAACTTCCTAGCCCCTTGCGCTCCACCCTGCCCTGGACCCCAACACCTCCCTGCCCTCTGTGCACTCCCATCGCGTACACACACACAGTCACAGATGGACACAAGACGTGGAACTTCCTCGTGAGCAGGAAGCCGTATCCGCCCACACAGAATACAGGCTTCGAGCACGGGATCCAACAGTTTTCCACGCTTGCTGCCCACAACTCAGATATGTGTGTTTGTGCATTTCCAAACTGAACTCTTCCACGGGACCCAACACACATGTGACGTCACACTCAAATACATTCGCAAACGCTTTCGAAACACATGTCTGTGCGTATGTCTGTATCGTGGACCCAGTGGTTAGTTGTTTGGCAACTTTGACTTCTAAAACAGTCAAAAAGTCAAAAACTGAGCCAGGGCTGTTTCAAGAAAGCCAAATATCGATGGCAACATGCATGCCATGAAGCTCTTAGAATTATGCACAGACGAGCTCTCGGGTGGCCAGTTTCTCTTTACCTCTACACACTTCTGAGGAGCTGACCTGCTGGGTGTCTACCCCATGGGAGATCAGAAACAGAAATCAGGGGAGAAAAAGGACTTGGCAGGCCCACTGATAGCTAGAAGAAGGCACAACCGAGGCGAAAACGTCTTTTGTAAAAAGTAGATGTAATACCTTTAAAAGCGTAGCAGTTTGGGAGAGCTTAGCATAGAGCTGTGGTCTGTACCAACTACAGCCCCAAGGGCATCCCTTCAACGGATGGGCAGAAGAAGGGTATTTATAATGATATTAAACAAACAAGAGCAAGAAAGATGAATTATGTTAAATATAACTTCTTTATGAAGGCAGAAAATTTCTAAATATATATTAGGAATATATCCATTGAAATAGTTGAAATTTACAGGGTGCCTGGGTGGCTCAGTCAGTTAAGCGTCTGCCTTCAGTTTAGGTCATAACTCCGAGGTCCTGGGATCAAGTCCTGCATTGTGCTCCCCGCTCAGTAGAGAACCTGCCTCTCCCTCTGCCCCTCCCCGTGCTCCTGCTCTCTCTCTTCTCCCAAATAAATAAATAAATACAATCCTCAATAAAAGGGAAATGTTCCAGTTCCAGTCGGGTTGAAGCAAGTATCGTGCACTTAGACCAGCTTGCTTTGAAGTGAGGTGAAATAGTTAAAATTCACATACGTAGCAGCTATGTATTGGACAGGTGTGATATTATAACCGTGGGTCCGCGAGTACTATCTCGTCTGTGTGCATAAATCATCGGTCACACCTGCTCGCCCATCCTGCCCCTTCATGAGACCTGCTTTCCTCCCTCCTGCACACACAGATACGTGTTCACAAATATTGCAATGTATTCACCATGCAAAACGCAGACACAAATGTGTTTTATCCGTCCTCAGACTGCAGAACAAGCCAGTCCCGCAGATATACGTGCGTTCATCAACGCTGCCTCCATCCGTAAGCTGTACACTCGCACACACGTATGTAAACTCCAACAGCTCGCTAACTCCCTCCTGTACTCATAGTGACTTCCCCACAATGTCCGTAGACATTCTGCAGTCATACACACACCTAGCTCCGTATTTGCGCTCACACATCCTCTCCAAACACGCACCTGAATACACACAAATGCGCGTCCCTCTACAAACGTCCCCTAGTATAGGCACTGCACCCGACATCGTGCCATGCATACAAACGTACACTTGCCGCGTCTTCCCCTATACCTCCTCCATGAGTCTGCACGCTTTGGGTCCGCTGACAAGCATTCCTGATCCCGCCATGCATGCCACACATGCACTCTTGGGCACGGCCTCCCCACCCTGTGCACGCCACGCTGTCCTGACGACCCGCACCTGGCACTCCCACACGCACGGTCCCAGGCTTGAACCCGTGCCCACGCACAGTCCTCGCTGTCCCGGGCAGAGCTGCAGCTCTGGGAATCTGGGCCAGAGGCCAAGGGGCAGCAGGAACCGTGGGCTAAGTCTGAGGTCTGGCCCTGCTATGCCATTTTTTAAATAGTTGGGGTTTTGGCAAAAGCAAAATGACGGTTTACTTTCAGCGCACAGACCCTGAAACGTAAGCTGGTGTGTATCGAAAGGGAAATCTGAGAGGCCAGGCTGGGTTTTGTTTTCATGGAACCTTTGGCTGGGAAATGACAGGAGAGCCTGGGGCTGGAGTGAGGGCAGAGGGAAGTTTTAAAAACAGTGTTGTGTGCACTAACCCTTGAAACAGGAAGTTGCCTTTTGCCCAGAGCAGGAGGAATTTGATTTTTGGAAGATTCGAGTTCATTTTATAGCTAAACTACAGAGAGGTGGGACTGAGGCCTCTGTGCAGCCCAAACTTGTCCTGCCGCCTTTGGCAGCGGGACAGGACTGCCTGAAGCCCATCCCTTCTCTTGTCCTCAGCTCCAGCCCAGCCAACAGCCTCTCTCTGAAATACCTCCCGCAGTGTTCCCTGGCCGCCCACTAGATGTCCCTTAGACGCTGACCGCCAGTAGGTTCTTCCTTACGGCGTAAATTCCCTTTGCTGTAGCCCGAAACCCTCTGGTTTCTAAAAATATCCACATTTAAATTAGCAAGGAAAACAGCACACAGAGCCTCCTTCTACTCCAGCTACTGCTAGGTCAACGAGTCCTCCTGCCGTCACTAGCACCGCCGCGGCCACATCGGGCTAGCATTCAGTGACCACTTACTGAGTGCCAGGCACTGTGCTGGGCGCTGAGCATTCATCGTCGCCATTGCTCACACCGCCATGCAGGTATTTTGATTTGAATTTTACAGATGAGGACATAGAGTCCCCGGAAGCCAGAATCCAAACCCCTCTTGATGACCAAAATGAAACGCCATCCCTTCCGCCGGGCTTCTGGCCACAGTCCCGAGCTGCTCGTTGCTGACCCCTCGCCCTGGCTACTGTCACTGGGGGCCAGCACACCTGTCTCTTTGCCTCCTCCTCCTTGCAAACCTGGCATCCTTCCCGGGCATCTCTCTGGACTGGCCTTCTAAGCTCTCCCTTTCCTTCTCTTCCCTAATCAACTTTGGTCCTGAGGAGGGGGACACATTCCGCACCCCCCATCAGGCTTCATCATGTAACCACCGTCTTTCCTCCATCCTTCACCCCCCCCCCCCATTAAGAGACCCTCTTCTGTTCTTCCTGATTCTGGTCTCACCTTCTCTGGGGCCATACCTCAGGCTGACCTCAACCTTACAGTGACTGGGTGGAACCCTCTAGCTTTTGTATCAGCGTGAAGTCTGTTACTCATGCTCATCTTTTCCTAGCAGAGAAGTGGGTTTGGGTCAGTAGCCAGGGTGGTAACTGGATCACTCTCACCTCTGGCCACCTGCCCTTCTGACACCTTCCTACTTGCACGCAGCCAGAAGGGGAAGGGAGAGAGTACCCTGCAATGCCTGGACCCACTCCGTGACTGGTGATGCCTTTATCCTTCCCAGCCAAGCTCAGGGATCGCCCTTTCACTATGCCTTTCCTTGAGCTGCCCAGGGACAGTGGCGCCCTTGCTCCCTGCGTGGCTTCTGGCCATTCCTTCATAGAGCAGCTCTAGGAGAGCATCCCAGCTCTGAGCTCCTGGAGGCAACTCTGGCCCCTTGGCACCCCACCAAGCCTGGCACAGTACCTGGTGCTCAATAAATGCTCGTCCTGACCTTGAGACAGGTCTCCCTGGCCCTGTGTCTCTCTATCCCTGGCCCCCTCGCAGCACTGAGCTTCCTCCCCTGCACCTGGTCAGCCGGTCTCCCTGGAGGAGCGGGGCCCGGCCCCTCTCACCAGACAGCATGCGGCCCCTGCGGGAGGCCTCGGTCGCCAGGGCACAGGAGATTTCAATCCGCTTCTCCTGCTCCTGCAGCTGGCTCTCTGAGTCCTGGGGCACGTCCACAAGGTCCCCCTCGCCGATGGGCACCACGTTCTGCATACTGAGGAGGCACAGACACACAGACATGGAGTGGGGGGACAGGATGGTCTGACTGGCTTGGGGGGGGCCTGTGGACTGAGGTTGGCGGGGTGGCCAGAGTGCTGTGAGTGGGCAGGCTCTGGTTCCCAGCAAGGCTGTCCCCAGGGGGGAGTGGGACGGACCTTGGCAAAACACATTTTGGGACCCCCCACTGCAATGTCTTAAAATGAATGAGAAGGTTCGAGTGAACATCTGGGGCAGCCTTGATGAGGAAGAGAAGTCACCAGAGGGCAACCCCTCAGTTTGTCTTGATGACAGCATGTGCCTGCGTCCAACAGGTCTTTTGGGCACGCAATGACAGCATCCCTGCCACGGCCACAGGGCTGGGTCTGTTCCGCTGTCTTGAGCCACTCTCCACCTGCCCTCCGCTGGGGAGGCTCAGGGCTCCCACTGGCACGGGGCGGGGTGCTGGATTCAAGGGCACTAGTGTCCCAGGTGCCAGGGCAGACAGAGGAGTTCACCCAGCACATTACCTGGACTTGGCAATGAGCGTCTTGATCCTCTCCACCTTCTTCTGCTTCTCCTTCAACTCCTCAGGGCTCAGGGGAGTATCAGGCTCCAGGTCAATGTACCGTTCAGGGATGAGGACTTTGTCTGGCGTGGAAAGCTGGGGAGGGACCAAGGTCACCACCTCCGTTCCGTCCCCTCTCCCCACCCACCCCCCATCCCCAGGCTTTCTCCCCCTCTGCCCTCCTGGAATTCACTCACCTCCTTATTGATGTCCACGTCGTAGTGCTGGGGCTCCAGCTCCATTTTGCGAAGCCGGGCAATTTCCTCCCTTGGTGTCTCGTAGGCCTGCCCGCCAGGCTCCTCCGCCCGCAGGGCTGCCTCCAGGTTGGAGATGTCCACCTCGTGGATGCTACGATGACGGCGCACCTAGGGGACAGTGCCATCATGACCACATGGGGACTCTGTCCCCTGCTGCCCATGCCTCCAGGCAGCCCTAAGCAGGCTTGTGTCCTCGCTGTCCCCACTCATCATGCCGATCTGGCTGCCACCCCACCGTTCCCACCGTGGGACAGCTAGCCTCCTGCCACGCTGCTTGTCCAAAGCCTGCCCACCTGCAAAGGCCAAATGTCATCAATATATCTGTCTCACTGGGACTCATTACTTCCCATCTGGTTAGACCCTGTGTTCAGTCTGCGCCATCTCTCTTAGGCAGTTGGATTAGTGGATTCCTGTTACAAAAGCTCCAATACACCAAGGAGACTGTAAACCCTTTGAGGGTAAGACTTATAATCCTGATTTTCCTGTATTTCTGAAATGTGGTGGAAAGAAAAAAGGCAGATGCCTGGGGCTACTCCCAGCTCCACACTCAACAGCCATGCGGCGCAGGAGTCCTGAATTTCTCCTGACTTCGTTTCCCTACATCTAAGACAGCGGTGGTAATTCCTAACCTGGGAACTGAAAGAACTAAATAAAATAATGTGAGATTCGAGAACCACATGGCGCCACGTGGCAGGGCCCTATGACGACCCTCTTCAGTAGACCCACCCCAGGGTGTACACAGAAACACACGGAAAATGCTCTACACACGCGTGTGAGTGACAGCTCTCCTTGGGTGCTGAATTTTGCACAATGCTCTATTAACTGAATTTTGTATCATTCATTTCAACTTAAACAATCAACGCACTCCCTTTTGTGAATTATTTTTCTTTAAACACATACAAGGAATGCTTTGCTGTCGTGTATCTTCTGCCTAGTGGGGAGAAGGCTCCCCCCGTTCTCCCGGGTGCCCAGCTTGGGTCCTTCCCAGGCCCATCTCTTATGACCTTCCCCCCAGATGCCCCAGTCCAGGCCGGTCACAGACTGGGGGCGCGCCGTGTTTGGCAGATGCCCGGCCCGGCCTGCGGGAGGCTGGGAGGACTTTACCACTTTGTAAGCGGGCCGGGCAGCAGGGTCAGGGGCCGGGCTGGCCGGGCTGGCTGGGCTGGCCGGGAGCTGCAGGCTCCTCCGCTTCTCCTTCATAGAGCCGCTCTGATGCCTCCGCATGCGGTCAATCTGCTCCTCCACACTCATCTTGACCTTGCCCTCAGTGGGGAACACGGCACTCTTGGGGCGCTCCTGCTGCAGGGGGAGAGCGGGCTCTGACGGGTGCCCATCCCCCACTCCCACTTCCTCATCTGCCCTAATGCCTTCCATGTCCCTTCTCTGGGAAGCCTGTCTGTGGTGGGGTAAAGAATGGCCCCTAATGGGGTGCCTGAGTGGTTCAGTGGGTTAAGCCTCTGCCTTCGGCTCAGGTCATGATCTCAGGGTCCTCGGATCAAGTCCCGCATCCGGCTCTCTGCTCAGCAGGAAGCCTGCTTCCCCCTCTCTCTCTGCCTGCCTCTCTGCCTACTTGTGATTTCTCTGTCAAATAAATAATTTTTTTTTTAAATCTTGAAAAAAAAAAAAAAAGAACGGCCCCTAAAACACATGGGCACGGCCTAACCCCCTAGAACCTGTGAATGTGACCTGATTTGGAAATAGGGTCTTTGTGGGTGTGGTTAAGGTAAGGATCTCGAGAGGAGAGCGTCGGGAATTGGAGTGGACCCTGCGTCCGGTCTTAGGTGACTTTGTAAGGGACAGGACGGAAGACACAGGGTAGAAGGTGATGTGAAGGTGCAGGCAGATACTGGGGTGTTTTGTCCACAAGCTGAGGAACACCAGCGATGGCCAGCAACACCTGACGCTGGGAGACGGGCGTGGGATGGAAGCTCCCTCGGAGCCTCCCGGGGAACCAACCCTGGGGACACCTCGATTTTGGACTTCTGGCCTCTGCATCTGTGAGAATCAACTTCCTCTTGTTTTAAACCCCCAAGTCTGGGGGGCTTTGTTCATTTCCCAGAAGCCCTAAGAAATGAGTCTACAGCCTTAGGTCGGCCCCTTTGACTCTGATCACTGATTTTTGCTGGATTTGTAGTTCATCGCTGGCACATTATAATCATTTCGTTATTATATGGTATACATTATAATATAGACTATTATAAGGGGTACCTGGGTGGCTCAGGCAGTTGAGCGCCTGCCTTCCACTCAGGTCATGATCTCAGGGTCCTGGGAGCCTGCATCGGGCTCCCTGTTCATCAGGAAAGTCTGCTTCTCCCTTCTCCCTCGGCAGCCCCCTCCCTGCTCATGCTCGTTCTCCCTCAAATTAAGAAATAAAATCTTTAAAAAAAAATAATAATTTTGCTAACTATTCTTTCTTATGTGTATCTTCCTTGTCCCTTGTCCCTTGATATGTCTCCCTGATGGAAGACTTCTCCAGTGGGGCTGTTGTCGTCCTCCCACTTATCTTGCCTTCCTCCTCCAGGTCTGGGTTTCTTGAATGGTGGACAGATGGGGGGACACACAAAGGCCCCTGGACCCCCAGAGCAACTCAGGCCCGCCCGGGCTCACAGGCTGTGCTCACCCGGGAGGACAGTCCATTGGTGAGCCCATCAGCACTCCTTCTCACCACCCTTAACGGCGTTAGCTCTTCATCGGCAGGCGACTTTGTCCGAGGAGGCACAATGCCAACTGTAGGGAGATAGAATGACCAGTGGGCCTTCCTGAGAACAGTGAGGCAGGAAGACAGGGAGCCTGCTTCTCCAAGGAGGCCCAGTCCCACCTGTGGCAGAGAGGAAAGGCCCAGGATGGGTGCGTACTTGCTTTCTTTGGCTGTGAAGGAGCACCTCTCTGGTGCTCCTTGGCTTTCCTTCTAGGGCAGGATGAGATAGGAAGTACCTTTGTTGAGAGCTGCCTGCTTCTCTGCCTCCACCTCTTGCCTGGTGGGCACAAGGTTGATGTCTCTAGCGGTGTCCAGGGGTGAGGTCTGGTGGGGGTCTTTCTTGTTCTGCTCATGGCTTGTCTTGGGCTGGGGGAAAAAAATGAGAAGATGGCCCACGCTGTAGGGACTGCTGGGAACTCGGCCCTCAGGGATGTTTCTTTGGTTTCAATGGTTGGAGCACAGAGCCTTGAAAACACAGGATGAGGAAACTCTGAGTGTGCCTGCTGGGAAGTGGGCAGGGACGCCGTGGAGCCTCCCACCCAGGCCACCTTAAGGCCGGCCAATGTTGGCTCATCTTGTGCAGTGAGGGCTCAGGACTTCCAGGAGGCCCTCAGCCGAGGCCCACAGAGAGGCCCCTCAACCTGACCAGGCCTCTTAGCGAGCACCAAGAAGCACAGACTCGCTGTGCGCCAGAGAGGAGGAATGGCTGGAGGAGGAGGGCTACAAGAATGAGGTTCTCTGAGGATTCTGCCAGGATCCCACCCAAAACCTGAGCAAGAGAACCAGGTGGGCTTTGGTACCAAGATTATGGGGGGCAGAAGTGCATACTTAGCTTGAGGGCTTGCAGAATCCTGGGACTAGAAGGGGCCTCAGACACCACCGGCACCCCCTCTACACTCCCACAGGACAACTAAAGGGTCTAAGTCTTCATGAGGGACACACAGAAAGACTGAGCCCGAGGCCAGAAACACCAGCTCGAGTCCAGTGACAGAGATGGGTGAACCCCATCACCTCCCCTCGTCTGGAAAGCGGAGATGACCCTGCCTCTCCTCCCCGCTCACCGGCAGCCAGCCCCTCAGGGGCTGTATGCGTCCTGGCAGCTGAGCCGGGATGAGAACATGGCGCCCAGTTTTAGACGCTGGACTACCCACCTGCAACCTCTTCCCAGCCTAACTGCACCTCTGTCCTGGGGAGGGAGGCTGGGAAGCCAGAGCAGGGCAGCTTACAGCCCAGGGCCAGTGAGACCCAAGAGGACACAGGAAAGGCAGAGAGACAGATAGCATGGAAGGACCGGGGTCTGAGGTGGACAGGAAGGGACTGGAATGGCACCAGCCATGGCAGGTCCCTTGATCTCCCTCATCTGCTCGCACTGGTAGGAAGTGGGGCACACCACCACTCACAGCCAGGAGCTGACCAGGACCCTGGGCATGGGGTGGGGTGACACTCATTTTCCCCTCTGTCCACAGAGAGCAGAAAGAGGAAAGCCACCCCTTTTCCTTATCCTAGAGTCTGCCAGGGTAGCTGTGGGAAAATTAATATTGAAATGACGGAAAAATGGTTCCATGTCCTGCCTTGCCCCCTCACCTGCCCCTTTGCCCTGCTCCCTCCGCCCCTGCCCTCCAGGACCCAAGGGGGCTGGGTACCTGACCCCTGGCTGGCTCGCCACTGCGGTGCCAGGCAGGGGAGCTGGGGTACGGCCAGAAGCGGCTCTCGCTAGGGAGTGGTGGCACGTTTGGAGGAGACTCCAGGGGGACGTAGGCTTTGGGGAGGGGGGGCCGCGGCGGGCTGGGCTCCTGAGGCAGAAAGAAGCCAGAGCATTAGGAGGAAGGAGAGCAGCCACTGTGAGAGCAGGAGAAAAGAGTGTTAGCAGGAGACAGATGACATCGCGGGGACCCAGGGCTGGCCCCTAGACCACCAAACTCCCACCCGTGTCCTGGAGGGATCTCCAGCTCCGGAGCGAATGCTCAGCCTGGCTTCAAGTCTCTCCTCGGCTGTGCCCCAACCTATGCACTGCTCCCCACTGTCCCCCAATTTTTCTCCAAAGCTCCCTGCTCACTGGCCTCACCATCACCCTGGGCACATCCGCACCCTCTATCTTTGCTTCGACCACCTCTGCTGCCTATGATGCATTTCCCTTGCTCCTCTACCTGTCCCAGTGAAGGTTCAACCTTCCCCTCAGAACATCCGGGTCGTTACGATCCAACCTGAGACACACACTGCCACGTTCCAGAGGCTGGCCGCTTCCTATAAATCGGTCTTGGTCCCCGCCTGGACACTGGGCTTCCCAGGAGAAGGGCCTCAGCCATGTACGTGTATGTTTCCGAGAGGGCCTCACCGCATCTCTTGCCCCATGTAGAGCTCCACGAGACACCAGCTAGGAAACTGCTCCCCACGCCCACCCTCAACCCTCTCACATGCCGGGACAGTCCTGGATTTAAAGTCCACTCAGCGCTGGGGATCTCTGTTAACCGTCCTTATGCTTAGGAAGAGACTTCCCTGGACGGAGGCTGAAGATGATGAATGCCGATGAGGGCAAGTAAAGGGAAAATCTGGAAGCAAGTTCCCCAGACTGGGTGTGAGAACGAGCACCCTAGACAGAAAGCCAAAGCACTAGGCCTGGAGGCCTCAGGGGCGGAGACGGGCACAGCCTGTGTCCTTCAGGTGGAAGAGGACCTGGTTCTCCCTCCCTCCCCCACCTACCTTCTAGTCCATTTTCTCAGCTTACCTCGCTGGACCCGGGCTTGGTGGGGGACCCCTGGGAGCCGGACACCAGTGAAAAGGGGCTTAGGGGGCTGGTGAGACTGGCGGAGCTGAGAGGGCTGGCAGGGCTGTTGGAGCTGTAGGTGGCCGTGGGGCCGAGGCCTCCTGGGGGACAAGCAGAGAGGACAGATGAGGGATGGATGGGGTAGGGGTGTGCCCTGGCATGGGGGTGGGCTCCGTGGTGGAGGAGGCTGGGGAGGCCCAGGGACGTGGGAGGGAGGTTTCAGGGCTACCCAGGCCTGATGGAGGGACTTAGTCCAGGGCTTGGGGAGCAGGCTGGCTGCGGAGAAGCACGTTGGGCAGGGGTTAGATGATGGATGGAAAGGACACTGTTGCCTCTGAGATGGCAAAGAAAGCCAGCCGAAGTCCCAGCACTTCTGATCACCACCCGCCCCGTGGGCTTGGGTGGGGGTGGGATGGGGAGGCCCAGATGCTCTTCGACCTTTTCTGGGGACGAATCTAGACTATCAGGGTCCACGAGGTCCCTAAGTGGCATGCCTGGTCTGTTCTGGGCGGAGAGGAAGGAATAAGGGACCCCTACCTATCATCTCCGGGGCAGATCCCGGAAGCCTGAGAAGGCCCTGACTAGCTCCGAGCCCAGAGTGAGGGCCTGGAGAGGGGGGAGTATGAGAGATGTGGGATGGAAGCCAAAGACCAGAGCATTTCTGCTGAGCCGTCAGGAGGCCGGAGGAAAAGGCTCCCACCTCGGTGCTTGGCTGTGTCGGTGCCCCGGGATGGGTTATTCTTCCTCAGCCCCTCCATCACGTCCTGGATCCTCCAGATCTCCTTCTGGATTTGCCGGTTGACCACCTCATTCTGGAACCACACGAGAGTGGGTCAAGGGAGGTGGCCACGAGGAGGGTGCCAGCCTTCTCCCTGCATCCCTCTGGGCCGGCAGGAGCCCTGCGCATGCACATGCTCCCACGTCCCTTTGGCGCGTTCATCTTTCCTGTGGGAAAGCCCCAGAGGAGAGGGTCCAGTCATCACAGCCCAGAGCCCCTTTAGGTAAATATGCTGCCTCAGCTTCCCTGGGGAGATCAGGGTGGTCTTGGAGCAAATGCCCCTCTAGGTGGACACTTGAAGGTAGCGCGTTGTCAAGGGCAAGGGTATACAATTGACTAACGTTCCTTCTAGCCAAACGGCCCTTTTGTAATACCAACACCTAATGTCTGGCGAAGTAGTCACGAATTATGTTCAGTTAGAGTTTGCCCTCGGAAAAATCCAGCTACCGCCTACTTAGCCTCCCCGCGGTCCTCCACCCCGTGCGCCAGGCTTGGCACGGGGCCTTGGGTACACTAACTCCTTCCGGCTGCACAAGAACTCTGTGCGGCACAGGCCTCAGGTGTCCCGACTTTGGAGATGGAGAGATTCGTTTCGTGCCCATGACCCTGTTAGTAAGCAGTGTGACCGCCTTCTGAGTCTGGGTCTGTCTGTCTCGAGAGCTCGTGCCCTCGACCAGGATGCTCCCTGACCCCCTAAAATGTTCGTATTGCAAGTCAGGCTTGCCCGCAGGACACGGAGGCATTCAGGTGCTCTGGATCCGGAGGGCCTTCACCTCCCCCTCCCTAACCAGCTGCAAGGGGGGTGGTGAGCTTCATCCCTCAGAGGAAACTAGGGGGTGTCGGGGGCATGACCTGCATTGGAGAGACAGGGCTTACACAGCTAGCGAGAGCAGATGCAGAGCTGGCATAGAGAAGATCAAGGGAGGAAAAGAACAGGAACTCCTCAAGGTCAATGTGTGTGGTCTCCCGCCTCCAAGCAGTGTTTCTAACCCATCCTGGGAAGGGAACACTCCTTCCTATCTCAAAGGTCCTGAGTGGCTGGCTCCCGCACCAACTTCTCCTTCTGAGGTCGTGAGAGACAGCTGCACAAAGGCCCACGGCTCTACCCGCATGTGGACTGAAACCCTTACCCAGACCTACATCCATATCTATCTCGATGGGTTCAGTCCTTCCAGTCATAAAGTATCTTCGTCTAACCCAGCGCTCTCATGTTTCTGCTTTACTCCTTTCTCATGATCTGATGGAACTAAAGAAGATTTCACACGGTCTTCATCCTGAGAGTGTCTGTTTTACGTGGATGTGAACCTTGTCTTCTGTCTCAGGACAGATGCCCTGTCTCAAGTCTCTGAGATCTCGGAAGCAAGAAAGGAAGCCCCTTTGGCCCAAAGGAGAAGGGAAGGCACACTGACCCCCTCCTGCCCAGGGGCCCTCTTCACCTGGACATCCAAATTGAGCTGTTCCCAGAGGTCATCATGCAGGGCGGACACCTCTGACTCAAGGCTCTCATACTCTACGGTGCTGTTCGTCAGGGCCTGCAACGAAGGGCGGCTTTACTGAGACAGCGGCCATTGCCCAAGTCTTCCTCCCCACCCATCCCTACACAGGGCCCAGGGCCAGGGCACCTGGGGTCTCGCAGGGCTTAGAGGAGAGCACAGAGGGACAGGAGGACAGGGCCCAGGGCTGAGACATTCTCATGATAGCATAACAGTGGCCCACACAACTGTAGGCTAAAACACAGAAACCACAATCCTCTCCAGATGTGGGGATGGGATCATACCATGCCCACCCCCTCCTGGTCTCCCCAGACTGGGTGACCCCAAGCGGAGGGCAAGAAGAGAGGAAACCCAAAGGTGTTTGCTCCCTCGGGGTTAGAGACCTTCCGCCTTTCTGGACCATGTTTCGCTGGGTCTTTGGCTGCAACACCCCAGAACCCTCCGGGCAGTCGGTCCTGCAGGGTCTGCCCTGAGCCCACGGCAAATGACCGGGCCAGCAGCCTGGCGCCGGTGTCCCAGTTCTCCAGGGGAGAAGACAGAGGAGGCAGCAAAGCTGTGAAAGCGGCCCATGAGATAAGGAGCCCTGGACAACAGCAGGGCAGGAATGCTTTGGGGAAAAGAAGCCTGTTTCCTTGCCAAAGACTATGGAGCGAGCTGGCGGGCACGCTCGCTGCCTATCTGCAGGGCGCTATTAATATTAAGGTCTTTTGTTTCTGCCCCTTCAGGTGCTCCTGGCCACCAAGTTGAGTGGGAAATGAGACAGCACAGCCCGGGAGGGGTGGCCCTCCTGTCCCAGTGCAGACGGCCAGACCAGGGGATGGGAGGCGGGGGGGAGTGGCGTTACCGTGGTGGCCTGGGACAGCTCCACCCGGATGTTGATGAGCTGGTTCTGTAGGGACTCTTTCTTATGCAGCAGCTTCTCGGGGTAGGCAGGCTGGTTCCCAAACATCTCCAGCTCCTGGTGGGTCCCCATCAAGGCACTTTCCAGGCTCTCCTGAAGAAAGGCAGGGGAATGGCCGTCAGCGGCTCTGATGATTCCTCTCCGAGCCCCAGCAGTTCAACCCAGCACCTTCGTGGAGGTTGTCCCCACCGGCCAGGCCCACAGAAGAGCTTCCTCAGTACCAGTTAGGGAAAGGACAGAAGTTTAAGACAGGGCTCTGTCAGCTCTGAGTGGAGACGGCACCCCACACCGGTCTGTGCCGGGCTCCCCACACACCCCCAACTCCAGGGCGACCCCGGCTCTCACCTTTTCAGCTCGGAGCTGCTGCACCAGTCGGTCCTGCTCCCTCACCACCTTGTTCTGCTCGCACAATTTGCCCAGCAGCTTCTGGGGGCCCGAGGAGGTGGGGGGAAGGGAGGGAGAGAGAAGCGGGTGAAGGACATGGTTTTGACAGGGACCTGGGAAATGGGTCGGCAGGGCCTGGCCTCTGGATACTGCCTCCTTTCCCCTGCTGAGGAACCCTAGGCCTTCTTCACTTTGACCTTGGAGGCTCCTGGGAATGGGAAGATGATCTTCACCTCGGGAGACTTCCCAAGGACCTACTGAGAGGGGGGATGTGCTTATTCTCTGACGAAGTCAGTCAGTGGAGAGGGGAGTTCAATGTTAAGCTCCTGTATCCCCCTTCTCCTAGGGGTTCCTGTTCCCGAAGGGCTGAGGAGATAATGTGGCTGGCCTCCGGGGCCTCCCAGAGGGGCACGGGTGGGAGGAGTACACGGGGCGTCTGAACCAGCAATGTTAGGAAAACCAGTGACCCATGTAAATGGTTCCGCAGGCTCAGAGGATTCTTTTCTCCCCTGCTTCTGGGGTCTCAGAATGGCTGACACTGGGATCCTCCTGAGGTCTGGCCCTTGCCTGGACGGAAAGTCTCCCAGGCCTCCTCGGTAGATCCTTTATCCAGGCAAAACCAGGGGTGATGGGGAGGAAGTTCTAGAAAGATTTAGGCTTTCTAATATCCACAACTTTATTCATGCCATTCCTCAAATACCCCCGTGACTCATTTCTAATGGTCACATCTTGTCTTCTGAGCCTTTTCACTCCCAGGCCCAGCTCACCTGTTACCTGCTTTGTCCCTGACCCACCAGTCCACATGGTCTCACTGCCCTGCCCTCCTGCAGAACCCACTGTCCGTGCCCGTTGGCCATGAGCTGTGAGGGGCCACCTGCTGCTACCTGGCATCTCCCACTACCCAGGGCAGGGCCGTGTGCTTCCCTCTTGTGGTCCAGGGGTGACTGCCATGCTGGACACAACACAGCCTGGCCTCTGCCCCTCGTAATGAAGTCTGTGTTCCTGGAATAAGCAGATCCCACTGCTGGAGACAAGAGGGTCTAGGGCTCCGTGGGGAAACACACACAGCCAGCACGGGACGGGGGGAGGGAGGAGGAACGAGAAAAGAAGGGGTATGAGGAAGGGGCAGGCAGAAAGTTGTCTTTGTGCTGAGAGAGGGCATGAGTCAAAGGCATGAAGAGCCACCAGAAGGACAGAGATGAACGGAGGAAAAGCGCCAGCGGAGGAGAGTGAAGATGAGGACGACAGCGGGAGGGTCTGGAGAGGACAGAGGAGCAGGAGAGCTGCTCTTACATCTGTGTCTTGCTCGTTTAACTTGTAGGTGTGGAGACCGTCCCGGAACACTTCTGGGTACGGAGGGACCTGCAGGAACACGAGGCCGGTTACAGCAGCAGGGGACGGGTAGGGCGTGCGGGGACGGAAAAGCGGACAGCCCTCGCTCCATTCTTGTTGGAGATCATGGTCCGTCAGCTCTGGTAGCTTCCACTCCGGGACCCCGAGCTAATTCTTTGTCCCTGGCTGGGAAGCCTGGCATGGCCGCGTCTAGGTTCCTCCCCATTGTTTAGGCTGATTTCTGGAGACAGCGTTGCTGCTCAGCTCCGACTCAGGATCTCCTCTCTCCCCACCCCCAAGCTCTAGATCTACTGTTGAGAGGGACTCCAGGGGTGTAGACATCCCGATGGCTTATTGGGAACAAGCCTGAGAACAGCAGTTAACAGTTGGCTGTTTTTGAGGATGAGACATGGGGAAATGGAACAAGCACCAGAAACATTGGAGAAAGTATCTTGGTAGATTGCGCAGCAGTCCTGGGGGGCTTGTGCTTACACCAGCAAATGCTGCCCAGCCTTGGTGAGGCATCCCGAGACCACAGCACATTCTATACAAGTGGGGCATCGGATGGTTCCATGTCACACCCTCGTGCCCTGAACCCCAAAGACGTCTGTGGAGAAGCTACCCGACATGAAACAGAAGTCCTGGACGTTAAAGAGCAGATTTGCGGTCGCTGGCATGAAATGGGATGGCGGGGCCGGCTATCTTGATGGTCTGAGCAATGGGCCTTGGGTTCACCCATGAACATGAAGAATGGAGGAGACACAGTGGAATTAGGGGAGGGGGACACAGGAGCCTGGGAGATGAGGCCCGGCAGATGGGCGGGTGGGGCAGAGCACACCCAGCCCAATGGCTGGACTAGACCATGCACGAGCAGCTGAGATGGAGGCTGGCGGGGGCCATGCTGCCAGGCAGAGGTCTTACTTGCATGAAGATCTGGGCCCTGGGGGAGGAGTTCTCCACCATGCGGTTCACCATACTGATGAGAGTCTCGCTCTCACTCATCTGCAGCGGAGGAAGGAATGGACGATTCAAACTCGCACCCCCGCGGAGCTCTCGCCCCATCTCCTGCCTGGGCTCACGTCCCCGGAACAGGAAAGGGCAGCTCGTCCTGGGGTCTCCGGCTCCCTCTGCATGACCTTACCCGTCGCTCACCCCTTGTGAGCTCTGTCCCAGGACCAGCACTGAAGGTGCCCCGAGGAGAGGCCACAGAAGGGGGGCTGGGGACTGCTGTGCCCTTGCTCGCTGGCCCCGAAGAGACCCCCTTGCCCAGTGACACTTCCCCTGGGGTGCCTGAGAGGTGCGGGTCTCATTCATACCGGCCAAGGTCAACTCCCTGCCCCGGCTCTCTTTCCTCACGCCATTTCGGTCAAAGACTACACAGGCAGATGGGAAAACCCATCTCCCCGCATTCGAACTAAGTCAAACAGCTGAGAGAGAAAACCTGGGGCTGCTCTTCGGATGGGCCCTCACAGAGAGGCAGGCACAGCTCTCTCCCCCCGACCCCTGCCCACTTCTTGGCTCTAGAGTAGAAAGGATTGCTAAACACGGTTTCCAGAGCTGGGCTGGTAGCATCCATGCTGATCTTGGATGGTGCTAGGGAGCAAATAAGGAGGCCAAAACAAGCAAGCCGTGTTAAAGGGACACCAGATACTCGATCACTGTTCTCTGATACGTTATCTTTGTGTTTCAAAAATCATTAGGACCATGGAGGGGGAAAGACTACTTGGCAAATGAAAAAGAAAAAAATGAAGAAGGGCAGGGGAGAGGGAGGCAGGGGGGTGGAGGGAGAGAGGGAAGACAAGCCAAACAAATCAGCTAGAGATGCCATCATTTCCCCCCCTGGTTCCAGTGCGACAGCATCAAAAATTGAAAACATTAGGGACTGTTCTTGGCTATGTCCCTTTAACTCAACTGACCTACAGAACAAGGTAGCAGAAGACAGAGGGAAGTTGTGTGGGAAAAGCTTTGGGGTAGAGGAAATGAGTGAGGGAAGGGATGCAGCCACGTTAGGGCAGAGTTTCTGGGGTCAGAGTTTGGGAGGCCCTCACATTTATGGCTCTTACCTCCCCCACCTTCGTTGGCCCCACATATATTTTTACTCTTATCGGTTTAGGCAGCAACCCAAAGGCGGCCTTGCTTCTGTGCGCTGGGGACAGGGCGAGGGGCACCCAGCCACCCCCATCAGGAAACGCTTTCCTAGGATCTGATCTCTCTACCTTTTTAGCCCACTTGGGAGTTTTTTTCAGTGACATCAAGTGTCCTTTTAAAAGGATTTCCAAAGAGCAGTTGTAATAGGAGGTTGAGTCTTTGTAAAATAGTTCACGGTCAACAGGACATCAGCCCCATTTTCTGGAAGGATCTGAACTCAAGTCAGTCTGTTTTCTTGGAGTCATGTGTGTTTGAGGCCAGGTTTATTGTGCACGGGGCATGCACGTGCAGTGTGTATGGGATTGTATATGGTGTGTGTATATGTGTGTGTGTGTGTGTGTGTGTGTGGTGTCTGTGTAGGACCTGCTAACACACCAGGCTTCGAGAGGGCAAAGGAGGCCCAGGCTTTGCCTGGACACCCACAGACCTCACGGCTCACCCAACCACTGGATCTCAAGCACTAAAGGAGGGAAGCAAGAATGTTCTCACCCTGACCTGCTACCATTCACACTGGGTCTTTGGGGATCTCTCGGCCCACAAAGGCTTTGTCTCTAGGATTCCTCTGTGCCGCCTTCTGTCTATCCAAAATGTCAAATTTTGTGAGAAACCACCCAGCGCAGGGCCTCCTACATCATAAAGGTGCTCAAGTAATATTTTAAATTGAGTATCAGAAGGAAAAGAATAAAATTGCTGTCCCCTGACAGAGCACATACGCTCTTACGTGATCCTCCAGCAGCTCTGGGAGGTGGGAAAGGCAGGTTCTACAATGTCCAGTTCATGAGTGAGAAAACAAAGGCCCAGAGAGATGAAGCAACATTTTGAAGTTTAAAAAAAAAAAAAAAAAAGGCATAACAAAAACTACTGTAAATGGCAAAGCTGGGACTAGAAGGTCTGACTCCACCATCTGGACTCTTATTTTTGTTTGTTTGTTTTTGTTTTGTAAGTAGGCTCCAGACCCAGCATGGAGCCCAACACGGGGCTTGAACTCATGACCCCGAGATCAAGACCTGAGCTGAAATCAAGAATCGGAGGCTTAACGGATTAAGCCAACCAGGTGCCCCTAGACTGTTATCAGATAAAACTCCCTTTTAAGATTATTATCCTTTATCTAGAGGAGGTCCTCTGAAAGGTTATTTCTGAAGGTCCCAGCCTAAGGGCCCAGGCTGTCCATGAGGGCAGAAGTCCCTGGAGGACCCAGCTATGGCACTGAATGCTGGCACAGCCAGGCACTGTAGGTGGGCCACAGACAGGACAGCCCGCCCAGGAGCCCCGAGGCCACTCAGCCCTGCTCCTCCCTCCTCTGGGCACTGTAGCGCCTGCTTCCTACTGGGGCCAGCCCACACGGCCCACTGCCAGTCTGAGTTCACAGCCTGAGACTCAACCTCACGAGGACTGGAATACTCGTGCTGTGGACACCACCTGCTGCTTCTGGAACCAGAATGCAAGGTCCGAGGGTGATCCCACCAAGGCACAGAGGCCTGTGAGATGACAGGTTATGTGGCATATGACTTGTGTCTAGAACCACGAACGGTTACACCAATAGCCTCTGATTTCAAGTTTAAGGTTCCTTCGGCAACTTTAAGAGCATAAAACCATCCTTCATATATCAGACATCCCCTCAGCTATAAACTGGATCAGAAGCTCAGAGTCACATTCCAAGCTCCGCCATTCACTAGCTGTGTGTCCTTGTCATGTTACTTAACCTCTCTGTTTCTTTCGTGTTACTGGTTCTAGAAGGGGGATAACAACAGTACCCACCTTGCAGTGTTGTTATACAGATTAAGTACTTCAGGGTGGCTAAGGAACCCAGAACAGCATGGGGCGCAGAGAAAGCACCCAGTGATGGTGACGGCTACTACTATGGCCACAACTCTACTGTCATTTTTACCACCTCCAGCCGCTTCCACCCGGCCACGCTGGGGATGCCCAGGTCCCCTGTGATTTGTAGCAATGCCCAGCATCCTGACCCCCCAGTGTGTCTCAACGCAGGGAGCCTCAGAGCCCCTCAGCCTCCAAAGGCAAGGCAGCCAACCGTTAGAGCCTGGAGCGGGATCTCCACCGCCAATCACTCCCATCTATGGGAACACTCGCAGACCCTTCCAGATGAGACGAGGTTGCCTACATTCCCTCTGTCTACCACGCGGAATTCTCCAGGAGAACGCAAGCCTCGTATGCAAAAGAACTTGGCAGAGGAGCTAACAAATGTACGGGCTAATGTGAATTTAAAAAACCATCCTAGGGCAAGTCTGTAGTTCTCCGTTTATAAACTGTGGAGTTTAACAACAACCTGTGAACTAGGATGGGTAATTTCCCAGATTCAGGGGGACCGGAACCCCTTGCATTTTAGGCCGAGCCTGGCTGCTCACCTCCCCCACCCCACCCCCATCTCCGCCACTCTTGCCAGCAGAAATGCAAATTCCCGCCTCCCCGCAACCCCACCCCCACCCCTGCCAGTTCCATCTGGCCTGAACAAATAGGAGGTGGCATTAATTATTCATGCGGTCATGTCTTACTCTCCTTTCCCCAGGAAACTCTCAGCGGCCCTAAAGGGCTTTGAGGAGAAGGGGTGTGAAGACGCAAAACCAAAATATAAGCCACTTTGTTGTCTCCTGGTGTTGCCAACAAAGGTTGTCAAATGGATGGACTAGGAGGAGGTGGGGGGGAGCAGGGAGACAGACGGGAGGGCAGGGGAATGGTGAGGGGGCACCAGCTCTGCCTACCTGCTGATCCAAATACTCTAGGTTTCTTTGCAACTGAAGGTCTAAAAGTTCATCCTACCCGGAGCCCGAGGCCCAACAGCAACACAAACAAACAGGAACAAGACAACAGAAAACAATAAAGAGGAAGCAAAGCAGTTAAGAGTTAGCTGGGGGGCAAGGTCAAAGAGAGGCCTCTGTCTGCCCTTGAGGAGTTCTGGGGAAGGGAAGGGACGAGGCTGGGGCAGGCACCAAGTTGTCTACTGGATGCCCAGCTAGAGGAGGGACTCCCTGGGGCCCCAGCTGCGGGCTCCTGGTCCACCTGGCCCTCCCATGGGAGAGGGCAGCACCACCGAAACCATCTAGTCAGCCCTCCCTAGCAGCTCCTGAGTTTTCTAGAAGAATCCATTGTCTCTAGATGGGTACTGAGCTGTGTGTCAGGGCTAGAGTTTGGGCAGAGAAGGATCAAGGGGAAGGAACGGAGGGGCACTGTCCATGCCTGCAGGGGCTCCTCCACCATGGCCTCCCGGGGCTCTGCAGGGATAGGCCGTAGCAACAGGCCTTTGGGGACAAGGACTCAGCCTGTTGGTTCCAGTGCCCCCCTACTGCACCCCACATCCCAGGTGCGGCGTCTGTATCCAGCTCTCCAGAGGGAGTCAGAAACTCTCTGGAGAACAAATTCCCGGGAAAGACAAGTAGAAAGCAAGGAAAAAAGGAGGAAAAGACATAATATGGAAAATTTTTTCTTCCTTAATCCCACCACTTGTCTTTTTCCCCATAAGTAGCACTCCAGGCAAGGGCAGACTTAGAGAAAATGCCTGTTATTGGACACTCAGGTCTGACTTTTCTTCCTAGGCCATAACCCAAGCCCCCCTGGCCAGGCCCCTCCACATGCTGGGCAGGAGGCTGTTGCAGGGTTGAGAGGATCAGGACATCACATGCCTCCAGATCCTGTCCCAGGTGTCCCTGGTGTCCCAGAGATGGGGTAACTTGGCCTCAAACTCTGGATTGGGGCCAGAGTCATGGCTGGGAGGAAAGAGCTATCCAGAGGCTGCTAGAAACCAGGAGGGCCAGGCACCAGGCACAGAGGATCCCTGTGGCTGTCCCAGTTTGGCCCCACCCTGGGAGGAGAGGTTCTGCGGGGAGTGGACGGGAGGAGAGGACGTACCATCTTATCGTGGACCGTGGGGGATGGTGGGTAGTTGTAGGGGAACAGTCCTGCAGGGACTGGCCGCCTGTCTCCCAGGTAATCATACTGGAAGAGAAAGGGAATTGGAGAGGTGAGGGGGTCTGGCTGGGACACAGACTTCCCCAACAACTGAAGTTCAAGGTCAAGGATGTTTGTATCCTGTCCCAGAGCAGATGCCAAATTAAAATGGACAGCATTTATCCACTGCAACATCCTTGCGTTGACCTGCCTGGTCCTCGAGATTTGCAAAGACAGAACCCTGTCTGCCCTCTAACACAGCATCAGGGTTCCAGGAGTGACCTGGGGACGGACACCAACAGCAATGCTCCTACTCAGGGGTCAAAGCGAATCCCCCGAAGCAGCTCTCCCATGGACAGACCCGCAGGGCCAGTGGCTCCCCTGGGCATCATCGTGGCTCCTGTCAATGGTGTGTGTCCCCATGGGACACAGTGACCCCGAGTCCCAGATGCCCCCACACCTCCGCCTCTCCTCTGCAGACAGTAGGAGGCTTCTGGGGGATCTGAGGGGATGAGGAAGGGAGGGCAGGCTGGTGGCTCACCTTGGGCGAGCTGATGGATCGCCTCATCATGTAGGCAGCAGGGTCAGCATAGATGTCCTCGCTGCGAGGTGGCAGGCGGTCAAAGCGGGCACTGGGTGAGCGGACGGGGGAATAAATGCGGGCACGGCTGTAGGAGCCCTGGCTGGGCGAGCGGGGCACAGAGTGGGAGCGGGGCTGCAAGGACAGGCGGCGCAGGGAGCTGGAGGCGGCGTCCAGCTCGTCGTAAAAGATGGGCTGCCGGGAGGGGGAGGGGCCGGGGAGCCAGACGGTGCCATCCTGCCGCCCGTAGCCCGGGGGCTCCTTCCACTCCTGCAGCTGGAAGGCAGGGCCACCTCCGTTGCGGAAGGAGTGGCGCTTGTCCTCCACAGCCCAGGGTGGGCTGATCCGATCATAGGCCGGCATGGAACAGATGCTGTCCGGCCGCACCCCTGGTGGGTAGTACTGGTAATCGTCGGGGTACTGGGTGGAGTAGGGGCTGTAATACTCAGGGACCCTGCGGGACATGGGGTAGAACCTAGAGGGACTGGGAGAGAGAGAGGACATTGTGAGGAAGCCAGACAGAATGAATGCAACCCACCCTGCTGTGCCCCAGGCCCACCTCCAGGTCCTCCAGCCCAGAGCAGGGTGTGAGCAGGTGAATGGTGCCCACCCCACGCCTGACCCTGGGAGCCACAGAGGCAGCCACTCCCTGGGCACTGAGCCTGTCTTCCGGGGGTGCAGGGAAAGCTCCCTCAAACCTTCCTCCCTCAACCAGCTACCCGAGGCTGGGAATTTCACATTCAGAGTTTCCATCTTTGTCTTTTTAAAACGAAATAGCCCTGGGGAGAAACTTTAAGCCTTATTAGCTGTCTCTCTCCCAGCATGAACCATGTATCAGATCTTTTCCAGAGCCGTAAACAGCAGAAAGAGCAGAAAGAAGGTGAGTGTACTGGGCGCTGGGGAGGACGACAGAGTAGGGACAAAAGGGCAGCTTCCCGGTTTGATGTTCTCATTAAGGAAGGGACCAGTAGGTTCCTGAGGCTCATCCCAAGTGAGGTGCTCTCCCTGGGGCCGGCCAGGTGTCCCAGGCAGCGGAGCAGCAGCGGGGAGCAGCCTTCCTATGGCCGGCTGTCACCTGCGTGCGGGGAGGTGACCCCTGCAGGGAAGGAGCGGCAGCCCCGCTTGCCCAGACGTATGCTACTGGGCCTGAAAATGTCTTCCAATATTTGAAAGCCAATCACCAGACAAAGGAGCAAATTGGTCCAGAGGGCAGAACTAGGATCGGTGAGGGGCAACACATATAAAGACTTTCAAATAATTAGAACTGTTCAAAACGGGGCTGAGTTGGCTTGACGGCCACTGAGGCTCATGGTGGCAGAGGTACTCGGTGGCACCAAGGGTGTCATAAGAGGGCAGGATGCACGGATGGCTCTCGGATTGCACAGCTTGATGTCCCCTCCCTCCAGGTGCCTGCCCGCCCTCTGGGCACCCTGCCTCCCTGTATCTGAAGAAAACAGACAGGGCGGGAGATGGGCGGGGGTCCCAGTCCACCCCTAGAGCCTCGGGGCCATAGAGGATTTGGATGCGCTAGGAATCCTGGGCAGGAGGGTCTACTTGATGTCCCAACTCAGCCCGGCTTCCAAAAGATTTCTGGCAGGGAATGCTGTGCATGTCACCCCTCCCCAGCTCCCCCGCAGCCCCAATCCCTAACATCACCCCGGTTCCGCCGGCACCCCACCGGGACTCACCTTCGAAGGTCGTCAGGCGGGGGCACCCCTCGGCGCAGGTTCACCCACTGCTGAAGCTGGTTCATGGAGCTCTTGCGTTGGGCGATTTTGTCGGGGTCGGTCCGTGGGGGGAAGCTCCGCTGCTGTCCCCCACTCTCTGAGTCCTGCGGCGGGAAAGCTGTGCTCCCGGGCTGGCTCGGGGAGCTATACTGCCAGCCGTTGGGCTGGGCAGGCCGGTCTCCTCCCCCTGGGACTCTCGGGCCCTCGGGGTAAGGGCTGCCAGGCTCCGAGGCTGGTTCTGGTCCAGCTTGGATGCCATTGGCTTTCACCAGAGGCTCGCTCTTGACTTCGGGCCTCTCAGGCTTCCTCTCGGCCTTCTCACAGCCTCGGCCATCACCCTCCCCTCGAGTCTTGGCCTCGGGCTCCGGCTTGGGGAGGCTGTTGTGGGATGGCTGCTGGTGGTGTTTGCTAGGTGGGATGTTCTCAGAGTCTGGCTTCTCATGGCTGCAGGACACCAAGGGAGATGTTGTAAATGACCCCAGTCCAGTGCGGAGCTGGGCAAGGGGTGGTCGACTGGGAAGGAAAAAGGAGTGGAGAAGGGAGGGCAGGAAGGTAGCGATGGAAGATTCAGAGAATGACCATTTTGTTTCCTAAATGCCCCCCAGTTGGCCGCCTCGCTCCAGCCTGGGCAATCACTATAAAACATAGTCCAAGCTTGCCTGTGCACGGTTTGCTTGTTTTACCCTCCAGATCACCTCCACGGGTCACTCTCTGCTCCCTCCCGCTGACCTGCACTGAATCCAGCCTTCGGAAGCTGCGGCCAACCCTGACCTCCTCCAGACGTGGTCTCCTCGGCTGTCTGTCTCAACGCCAGCCCCCAAGCTCCATACACACCCTACCCAAGCTTCGTCACGGTGACTGTCCTTGATGTTGGCTTGTTGCGGAGCTTGTTACCGGTCAGCCCTGTGTCCTACACAAGTTCCTTAACTTCGGCGAGCCTCGGGCTCCTTGCGGGCAGGAGGAGTGGACCAGTCCCTCCCCCCCGCAGGACTGTGAGATCAAACGTGCCAGGCGCCGGGCGCCTGGGTGGCTCAGTGGGTTAAAGCCTCTGCCTTCGGCTCGGGTCATGATCTCAGGGTCCTGGGATCGAGTCCCGCATCGGGCTTTCTGCTCAGCAGGGAGCCTGCTTCTCCCTCTCTCTGCCTGCCTCTCTGCCTACTTGTGATCTCTATTGAATAAATAAATAAAATCTTAAAAAAAAAAAAAAAAAAACATGCTAGGCACCAAAGCTGTCGCCTCAAATATCCTCGGTACAGAAGCACGCTGGCTCCCAGCTCCAGAACAAGCTTCCTCCTGGACTGACTCTGTCAGAACGTGAGCTCCACGAGGCAGGAGCGTGTAGACTCGTCTTCCCTTGTTTTCCTAGCACCCGATTCGGTGCCTGACACATACCTACTTACAGTAAATATTTATGGACCGAAGGAGTGAACTTCTGGAAGTGCGCCCCCCCGCTGACGTGAAGATGGAGTCTCGTGACAATGCGTTCCCTGCGGCTTCCCAAATCCAACATATTCAAGCATCCTTGTTGCGACACTGCCTGGTAAACATTTCTCAGACCCCAAAATAGACTTGGAATCTGTCTATACTGTAAAACCTCCTTCTTCTGGATCCCTTTTAACATCTACCTCAAGACTCCACAGGCTCAGTGAAGACAGGCCCCGAGGCTGTAGCGGGGTGGCAGGTGGGGACGGCGATGGGGCCGCTGTGGGCTGAGTGTCTGCGGCACGGCCTGGTTTGGCAGCCACGCCGTGAAGGATGATTCTAACTGCTGTCTTCGAGCAGAGGAAATCCAGGTTGAGAGAAGCTGAGTAACTCACACTGAGGTCACGGTGTGGGCAAGGGGCTAAGAGGGGATTCGAACCCAAGTCTACCCTCCTCCAGAAGTCATGGGCTTAATGCACACAGCCAAGACTGAACGAGTGAAGGACCCTGGTCTTTGGCTCCTGGCCAGGCCCCGAGGGAAACTGACTTCTCTCTTGGCCTCCACCAGCCCAGAGAGAATAGGAAGAGCCAGTCAAGGGAAGAGAGACTCCAGGCCCGGAAATCCCGAAGCCAGGCCCCCCACCGCTGGGAGCAAGGAGGGGTTCACATGTCCTCAGAGGTTCAAGCCAGCACGCTGGGCTCAGGAGGTCAGACACTGGGGTGCTTCCTCACTCCTCTTTCTCTGGCACTACCCACACCCAGGCCCAGGGCCCTGGAACTCACCTGTGACGCACAGCTTGGGGCACCGACTTCTGGGCTGGGGGGATCTGCACCCGGGCAGCCTCCCCCATGGCCTGGATCCAGGCCTCCTGCTCCTCGGAGCTCTCGGCGCTGAAGAAGTAGGTGCGGACCCCGGCGTGCTCAGCCTGTGGGGAGAGGCAGTGCGTGGGACCAGCTCCGGCCTCATCCACCCAGCACGTAGTCACCTGTAGGGAGAAGACAGCCACATCCACAGGACAGGTGGTCAGGCAGGCCATTCCCTTGACCTATAGCTCTTCCCCTGCCCACCCCTCCCCCGGAGCTCAGGAGCAGGGTGAGGACAGCCCCCAGCTGGGCCAAGGGCTCCAGCTAGCATACAGACGAGCTCTCTGGACCCAGCCATCCAATAGCCAGGTAAGCTCACCTGTCCCACTGGAGATGATTATAAACAGGAAGGACAATTAACACGCCCACTCTCCCATCAAATTCCATCTTTGATTTGAAGGGCAATTATTACCTGATGTCTGGGACAGATGACCCCCACCCTGCCCCCGAGCATAAGCCAGTCTTGGCTCTGGCTTCCCGTCTGAGGAGCTAGTACTGTCTCTCCTGGGCAGAGAGACAGCCATGTCTCCGTCTCCCTGGGCGTGCAAGGGGCATGCACTGACAGTTGGAGCACGCTACCTAGTCGGTGGCCGCGGGCAGGTGCGGCAGGCGCGAACCCAGAAGAGAGCTCCTGTCCAGAGGAGGGGTCCTCACGCAGTCAGAAGGAGGAGAAGCAGAGAACAGGTCAACCAGACACCAGAGGGGGAGACAGAAGATGATGTGGCAGGAATATTGAGGAGCAGAGGGAAGTGGGGAGCGAGTCAGACTACCCCCTTCTACTCGTTTTCACGCTGCCACCCGGATGGGACAAGGGTGGGGAATGGAGAGCTTGCCCAAGGCAACTGGGGTTGCTGGCCGAGAGGATTCCAGGCATCCCAGTGCTGATCCTAGCTCTGTCCCCAAACAGCTCTGCAGCTGCATTTGACTGGGGTTTTTGTTCTGGCCTGAAGTGATGCATCTGTCTATGGGGAAGGATCTTCCTGGCAAAGCTCGAAGTTCTCAGGCCACAAGGGAAAATGCTCCAGAGCTGAATTCTTTCTGGGACCTCGACGCACCCTCCTGCTGAGACCTTCCATCTCCCAGAAAAAGCGGGTAGCCTGGTTTACCCCACTCGACATGAGAAATCCAAGTGATTAACAGTCTCAGATGTGAACCTCCCTTTGGTCTCTGACTCCGTGGGTGTGAAATCATGGGTCTCTCAGGGTGGGAAGGAGAGAAGATAGGGCTCTCCTGGTCAAGCCCCAGGGCTCTCCTAAGCAGTAGTGTCAAATCCCCACCCTCCAAATGCTTTCCTGGCTGGACCCTCACTCCTCTGTACCACCCGTCCCCGACACAACGATTCCTATCCGACGGGAGCTGTTACCCAATAATGTCCTACTTCCTCTGGATCCTGCCCGATCCCATCCTCCAGCAGGGGGCCCGGCTTGTGCGCAGAGGAAGGGAGATGCTTCCAGCCAGCGAAGCTGTAAGGAGGCATCTGGGGATTGAAACTGCACAAGGATACAGAGGAGAGCGGCCCTGGCGAGCTCTGGTGTGGAGGACACCGGGTTGTTGTAAAGAAGAGAGAGACAGAGGTGGGCCTGATGGGCGTGACCTGGAGCTGGGAGGAGTGGGCAGCAAGTGAATTAATTTGCTAGTGAGTGTCTTGTGCGTGCAGAGCTCTGCTCTGGGCACCAATCACAAGAAAACAGACATGCTCTCTGCACTTGAAGAGCTCACGGTCAAGCTAGAGGACAAAGCATGCCCACAGGGAAACAAGGAGAGAGGAAAGGCACAGGAGCAAATGCTTGCAACAGGGGAAGGCGGAGGGGCTGGGAAAAGACAGGGCAGTGAACAGGCAGGCAGAGGGGACAGTGGCCTGGTACCATGAAAGCAAGGAAGGTGCCCCAGTGCGGTGAAGTCCACCGAGCCGCCGCGGGGCTGGGTTAGGAAGAGGTTAAGTCTTTCCGCAGCAGGCTGGGCAGGGCAACAGGACAAGCCTCCCATCTGTCTCCACTCCCCACCCTTCCCTGGGGAAGGGCCATTGAATAGCCACAATTGGAACCCTTTGTGGGCCACTGAACTTGGCCCTCAGAGTTGGGTTTTAAAGAGGCAGTGAACTCCTTGGGGGAAGGGGAAGGAGGAGAAGGGCGGCTGTGTGCAGAGAGCTGGGGCTGATGGCAAACGTGTGTGCGTGCGTGCGTGCGTGCGTGCGTGCGTGTGTGTGTGTGTGCATGCGTGCGCGTCAGTCACTTGGGACGCCTGGTGAGGGCACAGCTCCGAGCTGCAGTGTGGCTGTGTCTGTGCACAGGTCTAGAGGGGATGGTAAGACCGGCTGTTGGGCTGTGTGGGGGTGTGTGTGTGAATGTGTACAGTAGGGTTGTCTGTTGTTGGTTAAACAACCTGTTTCTACTTCCCCGGCAGGAACCCCGCTCCCTGGAGCTAGAGTTTTATTAATTGTTCATTGTGTTCACACCTCTGGCAGACAGGACCCCAGGAAGCTCGGGACTAATGACATGCCAAAGAAGGCCCTCCTTGTTCCCTAGAGCAGCCCCTGTGCACGCTGCCCTCCTCTTTTCCACGATCAGGTGACTGGAGTCGGAAGGACAGAAAGGGAGGGGCAGAGTCTCTGAGGTCCTACAGGCTCAGATACTGACCAGGCGTTACCCGCAGTTCCTATCATCATCCCACACCATAGCTCTAGCTTCTCAGGGACTTGGACAGCCCTTCTCAGCTAGGGGAGGGAGGGCTTTCTGCTAAGAAAATGCATAGCTGTTATCCTAATTTTATATTTGGAAATGAAAAGGAGACTCTGGTCTTTGCATCATAAAATACAAAAAGGGCACAGGATTTTTATTGTTTTTAGTGGGTCATGAATTTTTAAATGTGGAAAAACACCAGCTTGTGACGAGCCAATTGCCAGCCCATCTCTGGTGGGTGGGTCCCCTGGGGGGGTTCCCAGGGAGTGACACAGAGCGGGTGGGTGAGGCCCATCTTCCGGGCTCCTGTTCTCCCAAACTACGGTCTGCGTGAGGTTCGCCTTTCTCCACTATCATCAAACTCAACTCCTGATTTTCTCTAGAGATTGAAATTTGAGTAGGTTTGACTGGGGGTCTAGTTCCCTGGGCCCAGTGTAGGGAGGACTGCCGTCTAGAAGGGAGGTCAGAAGGCCACTGGCCCACAGCCCCTGTCCCTGCTGCTGGGCCATCGTGCAGAGGGCTCATGGGTTCAGGACGTAAGTACTTCTCCCCCAGGAAAAACTGCGGCACCACTGGAAACCATCTCTCTCAGCCCAGCCTGAGAGGAACCACCCAGCTGACTCCCGAGATAAGAGGAGGTGGTCTTGATAGAGCTGGGACTGACTCCAGGGGCCACTGCCTTCTCCCTCCTTCTACTACCACTGGGGACTCCTTGGGAAGGGGGCTCAGGATTCTTCTCCATTCATTCATGCCCTCGAAGAGCAGGCCTCCCTTCCGCACCTGGCCTGGGAGAGGAAAGCCAACTGACCTTAAATGTGTGTTTTCGGCTGATGTTGTCCGACGGCTGCACGGCGGCCACGCGGAAGCTCAGGAGGGGGATGCTACCCAGGATGCTCTCCTCCTTCTCATCTGTCGGGTACACAGAGGCCCAGGTGAGACGCGTGTGCCTGCTGAGTGTGCGTGCGCAGGGAGAGGGCAGGCGTCTATTGTCCCTATGACGATGACGATAACCCTAACCCTAACCCTAATCACAATAGGCACGTGTGGCTTGTCAGGCATTCCGGGCCGCCAGCCGCCAGCACACAGGCTGTACTCTGCACAACACGGAGAGGCACACTCCCTGCAGATGGGGAGCCTGGCTTGCAGACACCGTCGCAGAGGCTGGGACTATAGCAGTGGCTAGGAGAGAAGAGCCACCTGCCCTCAGGGAGCTTCCCTTCTGGGACGCAGGTAAGCAAAAAAGCAGCAACTACCGTGATGGAGGGTTTGCCGTCCTTCAGGTACTGTTCTAAGTTAGATGTCTTAATGGGTTTAACCCTACCCACGATTACTGCGATTACTCCCATTTTACCGGAAAGGAGGTGGAGGCACGGAGAGGTTAAGTAATTTGTCCAACATTACTGAAGTAGAGTGCTGGGTTGGTCTTTGGACCCAAGAAGTCTGACTCCCAAGCAAACATTTTTTTTTTTTTTTAAACTCCACCCCGACCAGGGGCTCAAACTCACAACCCCAAGATCAAGCTCCTGCTCTACTGGCTGAGCCAGCCAGGTGCCCCTCCCCAGTAAGCCTTCCGAGCCACTGTCTCATCTATAGAGCCTCCTCAAGCAAGACGATTCCAGGAGGGGCACACATAACGGGATGATAATGGGATCGGGCATGGCAGAGCAGACAGTCCCATCTTCCGCTCTGGCTCCTCTGGGTAACTGTTTCTAAGGTTCTCCCAGGCACCCAGCAGCTTGCTCTGTCCTCTCCTGACAGGGGTCTGCCTTCCCCTTCATGGCCCCTGTGTCTCCACAAGCAGACACACCCCTGCAGAGCCCCTCAGCCCTCTGGTCCCCACACAGGCTAACAAACAGGCTTCTCTGTAATTCATCCTGGATCTCCAAAGGAGCCCGATGGATGAGCTAGTCAGGACCCCAGATGTTGACCGGAGCCACAAATGGGTGGGGGTGCTCTGTGGGATGGGGGGCAACTCCCCACTTCCCTGGGATAGCTCTTTGCTCCCAAGGGTGGAAACGCTGGAAAACTCTCCTTTAGGCGTCAGAAGGAGTCTTAGGGACTATAAAGTCATGAGCACCCCTTCTCCCCTCCCTCATCACACGACAGACTTGGCTTGAGGTCCAGCTTCCTCTGCAGAGTCAGCATGGCATCCAGAGGAAGGCCGAAGCCCAAGGATCAGGAGGAGCCTGGGGCTGGGGACCCAGGGCTTCTTCAGGAAAGTGGAGGCTGCCGTCCTCTTGAAGCGGTGGCCTTCTGCCAGGTAGTGTCCCGGCCAATGCTTACAGGGTCTCTTGAGAGCATCTCTCAGTGGATGGTGGCCCCCATCACGGTGCCCTCTGAGTTCACAACTTTTCAGTCTCTCCCCTGACGCCAGTCGCAGAGTCTCTCCCCTGCAGAGATCCTGGCTTTCCATCAGCTTCGTTCAGACTCTGGCTTCAACCAGCCCTGGGTCCCAGAGGCCCAGCACCAGGGGCCAGGCCCTGGCAGATTCTTCTCCCCCAGGTCTCGGCATTTTTTCTGTGGCTGGACCCTGTCTCTGCAGCCCCTTCCTGATTTCTCTTTTTGGGGTTCAGGTGGTAGCGACTCAGGGCTCAGGGACAGCAGCATTCTGGTGGGGTCACTGGGTTCAACCTTTGTGAAAGTTAATGATTTACCTCCTTGCCCATAGGAGGCCCAAAGAAGTCAGGGCTCTGCCATGCCCAGGGCATGGGGGAAAGGGAACAGGCTCTCCCACTACAAAACCCTTGTACCCTTCTCTTCCTGTGGCCCCACACCAGTGTGACAGGGCCGTCCCTGTCCTCGTCCCTCTCTAGCTCCCTCGGGATCTCCTTGACACAACACTGCTGTACAACGATTTTAAAAATAACTTCCTAGAGGCTGCCTCACCAAAGTTATTAGGTCTCTCTCTCTCTTTTTTGAGAGGCTTGGGAGTGAGTGCTGGCGTGCACACAGCAGGTGGACACTGGGGTGTATTCATTTACTCAAAACTGATTGAGAACCTACTATGTGCCATGTGCTGTTTTAGGCACTGTGGCCATCGCAGTGAACAAAACCGAAATTTCTGCCTTCATAGATCGGCTCACACGCTCCAGGGGGACGGGAGGAAGATCAGCACACAAGCTCCAATTGGTAGGTCACCTGCTAGTAGTGACTAGGGGCCTTCCTCCGCTTCCTCCTTTTCCTAGCCCATCCCCCACCCTTCACCCTCAATCGCATGACTGTGCTGTGTGCCCACTGTATCCCCCAGCAGCACCTGGAACTCTGCCTGAAACCTGGAGGGTGCCCGGTAAATACTGCTGAATGTCAAGTGAGTGAGTGACCACGTGAGCAAGCAGGCTCTGTTTTTATCCCACGGTCACGCCCCATGGGTGCTGGAGGCTATGGGGCAGGTTTGCACCCCGGTCCCCACCCCCACCCACGTGACCGACCAACGTCCACCTGAAGCAGAGCCCGGGGATCTGGCAGAATGAGGAAGAGTGGTGGGCCCTGCCTTCCTGCAGCCCCGGCCAGCCCCAGGAGAAGAGGCAAGCTCACCTTTATAGTAGAAGAGGCAGCGATCCACCAGGACGAACCAGCGCTTGTTCCACTGCTTAACCCCGGAGCTGGCCTGTGGGAGGGGAGGGACTGTGAGCTGTGGGCATGGGAGGGGGGCTGCAGGGGGAGGAGCTTGGCCCCAATTACAAGGCCATCCTGCCTCTGGCCGCAGCTCTGCCGCTAAACCCCTTGAGACCTCAGACGCGGGAAAGTGACATTAGATCATTGTCTGTAACCTTCCAGTTCTGTCATCTCAGGCCTCAGCGTCTCTCCCGGGGAAGAAAGAAGGGGTGAGAGGTGAGCCAGAATGAGAGGGCAGAGGGTCGGCAGGGAGGGTGGGGAGGTCAAACTGGGAAGAATTAGTGGACCCCGGGACCAAGAACACCCCTCTTCCTTCACATTCTCACATTACTGAGAATGAGCCAGTGGGTTGTGCTGGCAGGGTTGGTGACCCAGCATATTTCTGTCATTCCGTCTGCCCCTTAGGAGAGTTGGCTGGGTTCCCAAATGTGACACTAATTTTTCTGTGTGATTTTGGGAAGATACTCAACTTCTCTGAGTCTTTATAGAATTAGGAGATTCATTCACAGAGATATATCAAATATCAAAAATAGGACACAGGGGGCATATCAAAACATGCAAGGGTCCATTACTGCAACTACAGAGGAATCGGAGTGACCAGGAGAAAGTGGAGCTCCTGGTGGGCGGACAGTGGAGGAGGCCTCACCTGTTTGAAGAGCCAGCCTGCCTTGGTGACAGGAGCAGAGAGATTACGCTTCATGGAGTGTGAGCGCTTCCCAAAGGCGATGGCCTTGCGGGACGTTCGGGTGGCCTGGGGAGGCAGACAGAGAAACCGGCCTTTCTTCCTCTCCTCCTCTCTGCTCTATCTGCAGCGGGAGCTACCCTTGCCGGGAGCTGCGGCTCTCTCCACGCCTCGGGTGTCCTCACCCTAAGAGGACCAACTCAAGGGCGCAGCTTTCCAATTCTTTGACTTTTTTTCTTACCACTAAAACGGGGCTCAAAAGAACCGTCTGACCTGTCTCACGGCGGTATGGATTTTGTTGTTGTTGTTATTGTTTTAAGGAGAAAATAAGAATTCTCATTTCACTCCTGGGCTATCTTTCTTCAACTGTCTGGAAGCTGGTCTTCCACTGTTCAGCCCTTCTCATCACTGTCAGCTTCTAGAACATTCCTTCAGAGTCGTAGGATTCTGATCTCAATCATCCTCTTCACTCTAAGTCTGGCCATCTCTGTGGCCTTGCCCTTGATGATGACTGATCCAGTGCCCTAACCTCATAGTACCGTGATAGCCTCAATTCTAAAACCATTCACCACTACCCTGTCACTTATTCCCACGGCTGCACCTTCGACCTGAAGCCCACGACCCTTCGCCACTAACATCTTCAATTCCGGGATTCCCATTTCCTGACGCCATCCCCTCCTCCGAGCTTTCTCACTCCATTACTCAACACCACCAGCCAGTCCCTGAGCTCCTGTCCTTCCGTTTTCTTTCTTTTTTTTTTTTTTCTTAAAGATTTTATTTATTTTTTTGACAGACAGAGATCACAAGTAGGCTGAGAGGCAGGCAGAGAGAGAGAGGTGGAAGCAGGCTCCCCACTGAGCAGAGAGCCCGACGTGGGGCCCGATCCCAGGACACTGGGATCACGACCTGAGCCGAAGACAGAGGCTTTAACCCACTGAGCCACCCAGGCGCCCTAGTCCTTCCGTTTTCTTCTGGACCTGTCAGCCGTGATGTCCTGGTTGTAGTTATTTCCCTACAAAGCCCAGGCTCCGCGCTGGGGCAGGACAGCCGCACTCTCAAACACCCCATCCATCGTCACTGCTTACAGCTTCTCTACAACTCAGAACCCCAGAGCCGCCAAATTATCCCCTTCCTGCACTCACGGCCAGATTATGGTTTATGATTACAGAGCAGCTGGAGGAACAGCACAGAGCCCTCCGGCCCCCCAGTACCCAACCTCAGCCGGGCCCAGCCCCCCATGCTGCTCCCTGCCCTCCCCCTCCCTCAGGCCCTCCCCGCGGTGGACCCCGCTCCGCTCCACGGAGATGAGCCAGGCTCTCAGGCATGCTTTTCTTCAATTTCATACCCTTTCACCCAGAAAATTACTGTCCTCACCACCGTCGCCTCTTTCTCTCCAATGTCAGAAGAGGTGGTGTCCTCCTTTTCAAGGCCAACACATTCCACCCACCATTTCCTGAGACTTTGCTCCATGGATAATCTCTTCTCCAATCTGTCTTCAACCTTGCCTTCTCCGCTAGCTGCTTCTCCTGAGCGAACATTCTCAGCTCTCTCTATCTTAAAGCATCAGTCTGTCTCTGTCTGTCTGTCTCTCCCCCTCAGCAGTTCTCCCTCCCTCTCACATGGCCACACCCACTGGACGCTCCCCCCCCCCCCCCCCCCCCCGCACCCCAACCCGAGGTGCCCTGAGGCCCTCAGGCAACACCTCCACTCCTCTCTCCCTCTTCCTCACAGGACTAGGTTCCTGGGAAGAGTTCGGATGTTCGCTCCTCACAGATGACACTGACCTTTCTGTCCTTCCTGAAACCCTCCTTTTGGTTTCTGTGGCAGGATTTTTTCCTCCACCTGCGGCTCCTCCTTCTCAATCTCCACTTTACTCCATTGGTGGACCTCAAACCAAACTTCAAATCTCATTTTTCTACATAGACAACGTATCTCGTCTGTACCTGTTGCCTCAGCTAGCAACAGTATGCTGAAAGTTCTCTACTCCTTATCTAAGAACTGTCTCCTAGCCTCACCCCGTTTTGTAACTGTCTGTCCAACCAGGACTTAAATACGTGCAAAACCAAACTCATCTTTTTTCTCACCAAGCCTGTTCTGTATTTCTTTCTTGGCTACTCCAATCCCCTCAGTTGCCCAAACCCTCCTTCCATTCCTTGTACGACATTTGCGCAGGGCAGATGAGTCTATGTTCCTAATGGTCCTTGGATCTGTTCTTTCCTCTCAGGCCATCATCTCTTCTTGCTGTGTACTATCTATCATGAAGTAGGGTTGCCTTTCTAAAACACAGTGGCGGGCGCCTGGGTGGCTCAGTTGGTTAAGCGACTGCCTTCAGCTCAGGTCATGATCCCAGAGTCCCGGGATTGAGTCCCACATCGGGCTCCCAGCTCCATGGGGAGTCTGCTTCTCCCTCTGACCTTCTCCCCTCTCATGCTCTCTCTCTCTCTCAAATGAATAAATAAAATGTTTAAAAAAATAAAATAAAATAAAACACAGTGGTATCACGACTCTCTCTTAGCATTTCTTAACTCCCTCTCATCACTTAGAAGGGAGTTCCATTCCTTAGCCTGGCACACAAGGACAGGTCTGTAAGATTTGCTGGGCCCATGACCTGCCTTCTGCCCCTCTATCCGATGAATCCCTCACCGTCAGGCCAAACTCCTGGTGGTCCTCTCCCGTGCCCTCGTCTTTGCTCTCCAATAGCAGACGTGGAAAGCCCCATCTCCCTTGTCCTCTGACAAATCCCAACTCATCTTTTAAGCCCAGGGCAGGGCCCCTCACTGCACATAACCTCCTGGACCCCCTGGCACAGCGAGCTGTCCTTCTACTCTGTCCACTCCTGGACATTGCAAATGGAACAGTTGGCTTTCCAGCTCCATCTTTAGACTCTGAGTTCTTTGTAGGGAAGAAGTTGAGTCTTTTTTTTTTTTAATTAATTAATTTATTTATTTGTCAGAGATAGAGAAAAGATCACAGCTGGGAGAGTGGCAGGCAGTGGGAGAAGCAGGCTCTCCTCTGTGCGAGGAGCTCCAGGCGGGTCTCGATCCCGGACCCCTGGGATCCTGGCCTGAGCCAAAGGCAGCCACCCAACCACATGAACTACCCAGCATCCCAGAAAGTTGAGTCTTATTCGTCTGCTCATCACCAGAGCCCAGCAAAGTAACTCGCTACAATAAGCACTTAGTACATACTTGCAGAAGGAAGGAAAGAAGAAACTGGGCCTTGTCATAAAGCCCACCCCAAACTGGGGAATACGATGATTTTCTAAACTTTACTAGTTAAAAATCCACATATAAAGGCTGAGATTAGGCACCTGAGGAGGTCACCCATCCCCCAAAGAATAAGCAACTCCCCAAATCCTTCCCTTCCACCTCTGTCCGTTATCGGCCACAGCTTCGCCTCGGCTCTGCAGCCTGACAGTGGCTCCCGCAACTCGTCCCTTCTGCCATTCTCCTGCCAACCCCTCCAGGCCCTCTTCTGCTTATCTTTCAGCCACAGCCTCCCAGCAACCCTCCACCTTAGGCTAATCCAACCATCTGCCTTCCCTGCTTCCCCAGCCAGGCTGGGAGGAAAACCACACACATCTGTGGACTGGAGCCACTCACCGTCAAGTCTACGACCTCAGGTGACCCTTCAACACCATCATGCAACCTTTCACATGCCCCGTGTTGACCTCTGTTCCTGTTCTCCAAACCCTGGGCATATTCTCAAGTCCGAGTACCTCTCCACCCACCCCACTCCCCTCTGCAGAAAACCCTGCCTCCTACTTCCCCATAGAAGCTGAAGGTGTCAGATGGGAATGTCTTTAACTTCCTAGACCCACACCTCCTAGCTTCACAGACCTTTCTTCTGCAGCTCAGGAGGAGGGCTCCTTCCCTGTGAGGGCTAACAGCACCTCTGCGTCAGACTTCTCCTGTCTCCATGGAGATGAGACGCACAGCTGTCTGCATCCTCCTAAACCTGGCTACTGGGCCATTCCCCTCCTGCTCGCACATCTTGAAACAAAACAAAATGACCAAGAAGACCTCTGGCCATCTTGCGTGTCTTCTAGATTCAATCCCCTATCCCTCATTTCCCCCAACATCAAGTTTCTTTTTAAATATATATTTTTCAATATTTCAAATATTTCAGAAAAGTAGGGAATGAATCACCACCAGGTGTTGGGTTTTTTTTCCCTTGATAAAACATGACAAATAGAGCTGAAACTCCCTTTGAGCCACTCCTCAACCTCATTACCTTTCTTCCTTCCTAGAGGCAACCACTGACCCAGAACGAGTCTGCCTATCCGTGGTTACACGCTCTACCACCAATTTACCTGTCCATATGTGCTGGTGCGCTCGTGAAGGCCATTTCCCATAAATGCTAGCACATCTTTCATATTCTGCAACCTGCTTCTTACTCAACAGTACATATTCAAGATTTATCCTTGTTCATACCTACAGCGCTCGTACGATTTAACTTCTGGAGAATGCTCCGTTGTATGACCAAACCCCTACTTACTGTCTAGTTTCTTAGAAGACTAGTCTCTGCTCCTCATTGTCTCTCTGACTCCCCTCCCATCACCTCTTTAGCCCCACCGGCTGCCTTCTGCCCCCATCCCACCACTGGTCAAGGTCTCCAGCGCTAAACCTCAGGGACATACTCAGCCCTTATCTTACTGGACCCCTTCACCACATTCTTCTCTGGATTACCTCTTCCTCCTGAGGCACTCATTCCTTTCCGAGCTCTCGAGTGCCATATCCTTTATGAATTATTCCTCTTTTGCTGTCCCCCTACATCAGCGGTTCTCCATGGACAGGGGAGGGGGTGGTTTTGTCTCACAGGGGACACTCAACAATGTCTGGAGACACTGGCTGTCACAGGCCAGGTGCTACTGGCATCTGATGGGCCAGGGCCAAGGATACTGCTCGACATAACACAGTGAGAGGACAGTCCCACACCACAGGGAACTCTCTGGCTCCAAATGCTGATGGTGCCAAGGTTGAGAGACCCCGGTCTAGAGATGGGTCTTCTGCAAGGTGCTGGTAGGACCCCTCTTCCCTTCCCACTCTCCACTCCTCTCGCATCACCTCGCCTGCTCTGGGGAGCCTGTGGAGACAGCTGGACGGGCTCTAATGTGTCCTAGGACTCCTGCCTGACACCTGGCCTTGGGAGCCAGACTTACCCGGACGCTGGGCCGCTCGGCGGGGACCTCGGACACCATGTTGTGCTTGGATACGTCACTGTTGGTGATAGCCGGGCGTTTTCCACCTGCTTTATTGGACATGTCCAAGGCCGATCTGATTTCACGTTGACCGAAAGAGAAGAAAGAGACTCATCAAAACCCGGGAAGAATGCAGAGGCTCCATCCGGATTCCCAACTGCGCCACCCATGAGGTCACCTCAGCTGCTCCCTCTGCTCTTCTGAGGCCACATGCCAGTAATCTTGAAGAGTTTCCTCTTTCTTTCCTATAACTTTGTTTTAAAAACCTAGACCTTGGGATTCTGGAACTCCTTTTCCTTCTAATTGAAAAGACATAATGGCGCAGCGGGCTATAGGAGTCATTTAATTATCTTTTTTTTTTTTTTTTTTCCTTTCACGGGCTGAGCCAAGATCCACAGAGAGGGGAATTTGCATGTGGCTCTCAGAGTCTATCAGCTTCCCGAAGCACTTCCCTCAAAGGCCCCTGGGTGACAGGCCCACCTCAGACCTGTCTCCTCCAGCACCACCTGTGGGAGGCACCAGCCTGAGATCTGGGAGAGGCTGGGAAAGGGGATGAGCGCTTCAAGCCTGAAGGCCCCCAGAAGCTCCATTCCTCAGGACCATGATTAGAGACCCTAAGTCCCTCTGCTCTCCACACCCTCCCTTCCCCTTCTCAGCTCCAAAGTGTGGGGGTGGGGCAGCAAGCGGGATGGGAAGGTCAAGCAGCCAGCAGAGGGGCAGACATACGTTTTCAAGTTAAATTTTTTGTTTTCTTCTGGGACCTGGCCAGTCACTGGGTGTAGAAATGTGTTCCGTCTTTCATTGTGGCTGTGGAGGCAAAGAACAGACAGAAGTCATGTTAAAGATGGAGAAGCCACAGACACTAACTAAAGGGTGGGCCGGCCCTGGGCAGTGACAGGGAGGGGGTGACCATGTAGGAGATGGCCCCTCTGTCCTCTGTGGGGTCTGGGCAAGGCAGGATGGAGGGCTGGGCAGTAGAAAAAGCAGCTGCAGTGAGGTGGGGGTGGGGAGACCTCTTTCACTAGTCAGTGCTAACCACTGATAGAGACCCCCCGAATAAGCCCCACGTAACCCCCTCAGTGGTGACCCTGGGAGTGTGTACGCGGGTGGGGGCAGGGACCTCTGTCAGCCGAGATGTCTCTGTGCAGCAGGTTCTCTCCCAGAACAGCTCCAGCCAGTGCTCCACATAAAAATTGCTCACTCATTATTTGCTGAAAGAATTCTCCCATGAGGGGCGCCTGGGTGGCTCCGTCCTTAAGCATCTGCCTTTGGCTCAGGTCATGATCTCAGGGTCCTGGGATCAAGCCCCGCATCGGGCTCTCTGCTCTGCAGGAAGCCTGCTTCTCCCTCTCCTACTCCCCCTGCCTGTGTTCCCTCTCTCATTGTCTCTCTCTCTCTGTCAAATAAATAAATAAAATCTTAAAAAAAAAAAAAAAAAGAATTTTCTTGTGACCTTGGACTCCTTCCGCTCCTGTTTTATGTACCATCTCTTTCTTTAGGTGAAGCCAGAGATCTGGAAGCTCCATCCCTGGGCTTGGGCAGTGACCCACTCACACTCGGGGTCTCAGGGGCTGAGATGCTGCTGAGACATCAGGGCTGGCAGGCATGGAGGTGAGTGCCGGCTCCACGGTCAGACCCAGTTAAGGGCTGCTGGGGCCTGGCTGTGGGGCAGGGTGCGGGGAGGACAGCCTGCCAGGAAGCAGGGTCTGTGCAGACGCGGACGGGGAGCAGAGCCGTGGATGCTCCTTTGCGAAGGCTTGCCGTGCGTGGCTCTCCGGCTGGCCGAGTGTCAGCCTAGCTTCCTGGCAACTCTGGGGGGAGACAGGGGAGGAAGGGTAGTAGACAGAACTTGGAGGGGGGGCTGGTGCCATGGGCTAAGCCACACATGGAAGCCATTTGAGATGATTCTGCAAGCAGGGGACCACTTGGCAAGAATGTTCCAGATTGCAAGCATCTAGCGGGGGTGGGGGCTGGGTGAATTTTAAGGTCCTCTTCACCCATCCCTCTTGAGAGATACTGTGAGAGCCCAGGACAGGTTCAGTCCACCTCAAGAAGCAGGCACCTCGACAGAGCATGCTGAGGCCATGTCAAGCTTGGAGGCCCTAACACCAGGCCACCGGAGCTCCCCTACTATGAAGACCTGGGGCTGCTTGGCCAGGGGCAGGAGGAAAGACAGCCTGGCTCTGTCCCTTCAGCTCCTTGAGGGAAGTAACATTTTGTTGCAACCCTTCCCCCCGCCCCAATAGTCCAGGAATCCCAGCCCCGGTGCTGTCTGTTGAAGCTAATGATAACATCAAAGTGTGTTTTTTCAGTTTCCAAACCAGCCCTGTTCAGAACCGATCCAACGGCCTGTGGCAGGGGCGCTGAGGTGGCTCAGTGGGTGAAAGCCTCTGCCTTAAGCTCAGGTCAAGGTCCCAGGGTCCTGGGATTGAGCCCTGCATCGGGCTCTCTGCTCTGCGGGGGATCCTGCTTCCCCCCCTCCCCTGCCTGCCTCTCTGCCTATTTGTGATCTCTGTCAAATAAATAAAAACAAAATCTTTAAAAACAATAACAACAACAAAGGTCTGTGGCATATACAAGCCCCATGGACAGTGGCCACAGTCTATATGGGAATCCGGGTTTGGAAGCTCGGGCTTGCCGGCCAGGACCCTAAATCTGGCCAGTGTCCGCCAGGTGTGGGCTGGAACTCCAACACATTTCTCACCTGCTCCCCCTTCTTCTCCAACTTATTCCCTCCTCCCTCCAACAGGGATACTCTCCTCAACTTAACTGCAGGGGATCTTTGCAAGGAAGGGTAGCTGTTTCTAGTCACCCCCTCCTTGGCTCTCTCTCCCCCATCGGGTGGGGGGGGAGGGTGAGCAGTCTGTGAAAACAAGGTCCTCAAGGTGCCAACATCTCTGCTTTTTCCCAGTGGCACACCGCGCCTGCTCGCCACCTCCCACGTCCACCCGCCCCCCCCAGCCCCCTTCTGCTCTACATGGTCCCTGTGCTAACTGCTGGAACCTTCCCCGCAGGCACTGGTATAGACAGACAGACAGACACACACATACATACACACACAGAAGCACACACAAAGCCTGCTGTCAGCTGGCACAGCTCTCTCAAGGTACAGTGAATTTCTCCCTGCCCCAGACTCTCCTACCCAGCAACCCCTACGAATGACGTCCTCTCTCCATCCCGCCGCTACCAATTTCAAAATAGCTTCCCCTTCACAAGCACTGCAATGCAGCAGCCATTGACCTAACTCCTCTTCCTTCTCCAGGTCAGGTCTGGCAGGGCCTTCCCGCTGAAGCCCCCAGACCCGACGAGCTGCCAATGCACCTGCTCACCAAGCTCGGCTCACCATCCACAGAAGAGCTCCCTACCTGACCCGTCGATCAGCCCGAAACTTCAACATCCTTTTGGCAGCTCTGATCCCTGTTTGGCAGCCTCAGACGACCTGCCAGCCACCCTGCTCTTACCATCCCTCTGAGAAGTAAGTCCTCCGATCCCCAGGGCCAAGCTCAGGGCAGGCGGCAGGCTCCGGGGCTGGGGGAGGGGGAGGGGCTCTCGCCGGGTGGTGCCCAGATGCCCAGGGCAGGGTGAGGTGGTGGCTGTGGCTTCCTAGCATCCAGCCCAAAGGCTGTTGTCTGAGTGCTGGAGGCAGAATAAGGGATCAGGGATGATATCCTCCTGGCTCAGGTCCCCAGGGAGAAAATGCTGAACCGGAGAGACAGGCGTGCGCTGAGCAGGTGTGCAACTTCTAGGTAGTCCGACCCCGCCAAGCTAAGGACACAGAGTAGCTGGGCGGGCGGAGCAGTCTGGGGCTGTGTTCCCATCTGCACAGCAGACGCTCGCGCCAGCCCGACCTGCAGGAAGGCAGTCTTCCCTGCCTCCCGACCCCCCAGCCAAGAACACCGTGCCCTGGGCTGCAATTCGCGTGCTTCTCAGAGACCCTTCCGATCCTGGGGGCACAAGGGTTCAGGGAGGCTCCAGACTCGTGCTGCCCTTGTCGCCGCTGCCTGGAAGCTGAGATGAACTTTCCCCACGCCTCCTAGCCTGTCCAGACTTCTGCACAGCTGGGCCACAGGGAACGGGGCTTCTGGGCAGTGTCCCCAGCACACTCCCTTAAGACCCAGCCCCAGCTGGCGGGCCCTCCGCCTGGGGTCTGGCTGAGGGGCACGTGGAGTCCATGGGCGTGGGTGTCGTACAGCCAGAGCTCGTGGCAAGGTCCTGGCTCCTCTGCTCGGGTGAACTTGAAGGGAAGCGTCCTCCAGAAGCTTGTGAGGAAGAGGGCGGCACACAGGGCTCGGAGGGGGTCACCATGTGTTTACTTCTGAAAATCTTCCCAGATGCCATATGATAAATCCCAGCTGGCGACTGTCAGATCTGCTCAGGGGCAAGGAGGTTTGCATTGCCGTGAAGTTCCCCGAACTCTCCAGTGGCCAAAGACGGTTAGATCTCCCCTTTTCCTAATGTCCTCCTTGTCTCGGGGCCCTTGGACTACAAGGGTCTTCTGAAGGTCATCTCTTCCAGCCCCCTGCCTCCAGGCCAGCTCACTCTGCAATCAATCTCATTCAGTGTCCTGGCTCTCATAAGGGTTCTAGCAAGGGAGGCTCCAGACCCACTGTTACCTTCTGCTGCTGAGATGTGCTCTTTTGATATCAAATTTCAGTCCCTCCGGCTTTCTGTATCATTCCATTTCTGTCTCCGGATGACAGAATCCTCTGACCAACGTGGTTCTTTACAGCTGCACCGAAGCAGTCTGGAGCCATCAGTGTCTGTTGTTATGCCACGACAGACACTGAAAGGGAAGGGCTAATCTAATTTTTTGGATTGAGGTCAGAACTCAGTCAGAGAACAGTGCAATCAGTGAACAGATAAGCGAACGGACAGCATTATTACTGAACCCGTGATGCGACAAGCCGGTTGGATATAGCTTGGGGCCATCGGCTCCTGATACTTAAGCAACGAATCTTAAATCCAAACAGTATACACATTCAACTATTTCATGGTACTTTTGCAAATGGTGACAAGAGGCTTCAGTTGCCAGATCCCACCTCTCCCCATCCCGGGCCAATTAC